TGGATTACGTCGTGGCGGCGCAGCCATCATCTGATTGGCATGGTTGGCCTGCGCGTTTCCCATGGTTTTGCACAAAAGTAGTCCAAGGAATCGCCGAATGTTGAGCCAGAAAACGAAACGCCGGCCTACACTAGGCCTTTCTCAAAGGTGCGAAGGGAAAGTGGAAGAGAGGTAGACTAGTCGCTAAATTGTGGGGAATAGTTGTAGTTAGGAAGTATAAACAATCGCGACAGTAAAAACAGTAAAAAGTAATCTTGGATTTAAATGTTTAGATTTAAATAGACTTGAAATACTAGCCAAGCCGAAGCAAATTTGTAAAAGGTTGGGCCAGACCGGCACACTTGGGTCTAAGAGTTTCTTTTACAAGCCTAAGTTCAAAAACGTAGTGTAAGGCTTAAAAATAAAACATTTGGTTTATGAATAAAAGTTTAGGATTAAAAATAAAACTTTAGGCTTATGAATAAAAGTTTAGGCTTGAAAATAAAAGTTTAAATTTAGAGATCAAAGTTGTGGCTTAAAAATAAAACATTGGGATTAAAAATCAAAATTTAAAAATAGAATTTTCGGTTTAAGCAATCATTTTTTGTTTTAGGCCGGTAAGTTACGTATAATGGAAAATTGTTTTAGGCCGGTAAGTTACGTATAATGGTAAGGAAAAAAAATTTAAATTAAAAAAAAAATGTTGGTCGCTTAAAAATTTTTAAAAACCATCAAAAAAACCCAAAATTTTTCAATTTTTTTTTATTTGAAGAAGTGTGAAGATAAAAATTAGCAGAAAACGGTTTCCGCGTCTGTGGCCTAAAAAATATTTTATTTACCCTAGCCAGCATAAACTAAATCCTCCTTTTAACTAAACTAAAGTGTATAAAAATAACAAACTTTGCCATAATAAACACGCCAAACTAAATATATACATAGCTATTCTAAAAATTAAATATGGCTTGCTCAATGTCATAATAAGACAGACCTAGAACGACAGTTTAAAATATATTTTTAAAACCGTTGTGCAAAAAATCGAGCCTTTCAAAAAAAAATTATTTCCACGAAATGTACTATTATATTTACATATAGTATTACCTCAAATTTAAACAAAAAAATTTCTTGACATTAACAAATCTACCTAGACCTGACAAGGGGTAGGCTCACTAGGCCAGACCAAAGCAGACAGATTTGAAAAGAGACAAGCCGAAAAGCTGGGCCCTTCCTAACTTTCTTACAGGTGTACCCTTTCCTATCTAGAAAAAAGTTTTCGAAAAAAGTTGAACGTGGTCCCCCCTGTAAAATTTTGGAAAAATTTTTTTCGACCTTTGCCCCAGACCAAAAGAGCCCGCCCGGCCCTGCCTGGGATCATAAAATACTAAAAAAAAGATTTTTTCTGTAAACTAACCATGTCATACTGAAGAATCAGTACAAACAACCACTAAATTTCCAAGAACCCCAAAACAAACCCGAACACTATAACCAGAACACACAAATTTTAGACGAATTTCCACCTGACACAGCCTTTTTTGTTACAAGTTCTTAACAACAGTGTTTTTTGTTAGCATTCATAATAGATCATTGTTTAGGAGTTTAGAAAATAAGAAAAAATAGTTTTTACAATGGTTTTAATTTTATAAAAAAAGTTTAAACTAACTTAAAACACATTTTCTGTGAGGGTCGAACTACCCTGTCGACAACAAAATTTTTTTTTCTTGAAACTTTAAGAAAAATTTTAGGCTTAAACTTTTATTTTCAAGCCTAACATTTTATTTTTAAGCTTAAAATGTCATTTTTTAAGCCTATAACTTCATTTTTAAGAGTAAAATGTCATTCTTCATCCTAAAAGGTCATCATAAGCCTAAAATTCATTTTTAAGCTTGAAATTCGTTTTTAAGCTCAAAATTCATGTTTATGCCTAAAATGTTAATTTTAAGCCTAAAATTTGTTTTTAAGCCTAAAATTTTATTTTGAAGCCTAACATTTTATTTTTAAGCCTAAATTGCATTTTTATATTTAAAATTTCATTTTCAAGCCTAAAGTTTCGTTTTTAAGCCTAAAATTTCATTTTTTTGCTGATTTTAACGTTTAAGCCTAAATTTCATCTTTAAGCCTAAATGTGTATTTTTAAGCATAAATTTCATTTTTATAATTAAAATTTAATTTACAAGTCTAAATTTTCCTTTTTATGCCTAAACTTTCACTTTTATGCTTATTTTAACTTTTAAGCCTAAAATTCATTTTTAATCCTAAAATTCATTTTTATGCTTAAACTTTTATTTTTAAGCCTAAAATGCGTTTTTTATAAACCAAAATGTCATTTTTATGCCTAAAATTTATTTTTAAACCTAAAATTCATTTTTATGCTTAAACTTTTATTTTTAAGCCTAAGAGTCATTTTTAAGCTTATAATTTTGTTTTTAAGCCTAAAATTCGTTTTTATGAACCAAAATGTCATTTTTACCGAATTTTAAAACCTCCACCTTAAACCTAAAAAAATATTTTTAAGCCACAAAACCCCTCTAATACAACATTTTTAACTAAAAAAAATCAAAATATCCCAGTACCAATTTCGGAAAAAAATGTTTAAAAAGTTGGTTTAGGGCCACTTAAATGTTATCCAAGAGTCCTTTCCAAGCAGGAGAAGAATATAAGGAGGGGGGAAAGTTTGGAAGGCGGCCCAACGGTTTTAAGGGAATTTCGTTCGGAAAACAAAATTAGTGCAGACGAGTCCTCTGAATCGGATGCGCAACAGGGATTTCGGTAGGGAAAACAGGGGGATGGTTTGCACTTTTTTGAATTTTTTTTGGATTTTAGGCTTAGGAAATTATTGTTACGCTTAGAAAAAAAGTGATGGCTTTAAAAATGAGTTTCAGGCCTGGAAAGGTTCTTTGAAGTTTTAAAATGCATGCAATGTTCTAAAACCAAATTTAAAGTTTTCAAAACAACTTTTAGGCTTATTAGGTTTGAGAACGAAAATTTAAGACTAAAAATGAAGTTTTACGTTTAAAAACGAAATTTTAGGCCTAAAAATGAACTTTTAGGATTAAAAATACTTTTTAGGCATAAAAACAATTTAAAAATAAAGTTTAGGCTTAAAAATAATGTTCAGGCTCAAATGCAACCGTAGGCTTTAAAACAAAATTTTAAGTTTAAAAACGAAATTTTAGGCTTAAAAATAAAATTTAGGCTTAAAAACGAAATTTTAAGCTTAAAAGTGCAAATTTCAAGCTTTAAAATAAAGTTTAGGCTTAAAAATAAAAGATTAGGCTAAAAATAAAGTTTAGGCTTAAAAATAAAAGTTTAAGCTTAAACATTACATTTTAGGCTTTAAAATTAAATCTTAAAATTCAATTTTTATGCGTAAAGACAAAGTTTAGGTTTAAAAATGAACTTTTATTTTCAAAATGCTTTTTTAGGCTTAAAAACGAAATTTTAAGCTTAAAAGTAAAGTTTTAGGCTTGTAATTCAAAGTTCAAACTTAGAAATAAACTTAAAATAAAGAATAAAATTTTAGACTTTAAAATTAAATGTTCGGCTTAAAACAACATAAAATTTGCAAAAAAAATAAAAAAGCGATTATAAAAGCTGAAAATCCCAAAAGTTGCCCAATTTTAAATTATCACCCCCACGTCAGCCAAAAGTCTCATCATCAAATTCTGAAATTCGATATGATTGTTTAAAACTCGCGCTACAACTCTCGAACAAGTCCGAAAACAACAAATTTGAAGTCCAATTTTTTGTTCTATTATGAATCAGTCAAATTTTTTCGTTGAGCATTTGCTTCTATTTTGTTTTGCTTTTATTAACGTTATAATAAGTTTTAAGAGAGCAGTTAGCCGGAGGCAAAACAATAAAAGTATACCCTACCCTACCCTACTTTACCCTACCCTACCCTACCCTACCCTGCCCTGCTATTCCTATACTTAATTATAACCCTACCCTACACAACCAACCCCTATCCAAATAAAGCCAACCAAAGAAACCCCCTTTCAAAGTTCATAAGCGCCAACATTTTGTTGACAACGGCGAATATCCCCTCAAATTAAACGAAAATATTGAAGACGAGCTTAATGTCATTACTCTCAGTGTTCGGGAAAAAAACAGCGAAAAAATGGCGGAGAAAAGCCTGAGGGCTTTCCGCTTATCCACGGCCGGACAGGTGGGCCGAACAAGTTCAGGCTTGACTTATTTTTATGCTTTCAGGTTTATGTCTGATCTGGCTGGAGGGAGGCATGGCAAAGAGAAAAACGAACGCATAAACCGTTTGCGGAATAATAAAAGTGTTATTGGTCTAATATACGTTTGATGCTTTATTATCAAGAGTAGGATGCTACATTCGACTAGTCAGGGTAACAATGAACATCGGATAAATCTCGGAGCACAAAGAGGCTAAAAGCACTTAGTTCCAAATTAAAAAAAAAGTACTAATATTGTTAGACTGGTAGCTTTAGCATTGAGCCTGAGCTTATGCTTCAGTCAGAGCCTAAGCCTACGCCCGAAACTGAACATGAAGGTTAGCCTGAGCCTAAGTCCAAGGGTGAGACTGAGCATGAGTGTTAGCCTGGGCCTGACCTTGAGAACAAACATGAGCCTAAGCCTAAGGTGGACACGAGCCTGAGCTTGAATTTAGACCTGAGCCTGGGCCTAATTCTGAGCATGAGCCTGAGTATGAGGATGAAACTGATCTTGATCCTGAGCTTAAATCTTAAAAATCTTAACCTAAGCCCAAAACCTGGGCTCGATCCTAAGCTTAACGCTAAACCTAAGCCTGAGCGTGCGTTTGAGCCTTAGGTTACCTTTACCTTTAGCCTTAGCCTACAAATAAGCCTAAACAAAGACTCAGCTTATAACTTCTTGATTGGGAGTACTACAGCTAGCCTACACATTTAGTTTTTAGAAAAAATAATAAATGTACCAAAAGTACCAAAAAACAATTTTTTTGCATAAAAATTAGCTTCATTTCTTGTTGTTGTTTATTACAATTTACAGTGAAACCAGACATCCTATTAACTCTAATCATGCCTAACCTTTTATGTACGTTTAATCAAAAATACGTTTTAATTATAATGTCAACGTTAATCACAAATGGCATTTTTTGCATGCGCAGTGCGTTAGCCCATAGCCGCAGCCATTGGCTCTAGCCCAAAGCCCAAATCCCAAGGTACAAAGCCCTCGCCCAGAGCCTTGGCCTTAGCCCTAACCCAGAACTCTAGCTCAAAGTCCTATTCTATAACGCTACTCTACCTCACCTAATCTATTATACCTTTATTTTGCTTTGCGCTGACCCTACCTTCCTTTTTTACCTTTTTTTCTTACTCTAACCAACAAAAAGTTACTATACAATAAAAAATGAATCTACGTGCTATTTTATAAAACGCTGTAAAAGCCACGAAATGACTGTTTACTTATTTATAATTGTTTAGCAAAGAAAAATGTAAAAAGGTTCTCTAGGTATGTTAATATTGTAATTTAATAAACATCTTGAGAACCGAGATTAAACTAAATTCTAAAACTAAATAGCTCAAATGTGTCAAGTGTTATCAGAAAATGTGAGATTTAAAAAAATGCTAAAGCTGGTAAACAATATACTTTTTTAAATGTAAAATACGATTGGGTCTCTATTAAATATAAAAAGTAAAATATATATAATACTTTGTGTTCGAAATCTTTAAAAAACCTGAAAAAAGTCAATTTTGACATTTTTGAGACAATTTTTGACATTAACTTTAGTTATCGCAGTTAGTTGAAGAGAAGAGAAGAATAATATTTTACAGATGTTTCTTGAATGGCCTATTTTCTTATATTTTTAAACTTCTTTATGAAAAAAAGCTGGTTCCAGACTCTAAAAAAAGCCTCAAGCGTGAGCATGAGCATGAGCCTGAGCCTAAGCCTAAGCCTGAGCCTGAGTCTGAGCCTGAGCCTGAGCCTGAGCCTGAGCCTGAGCCTGAGCCTGAGCCTGATCCTAAGCCTGAGCCTGAGCCTGAGCCTGAGCCTGAGCCTGAGCCTGAACCTGAACCTGAACCTGAACCTGAACCTGAACCTGAACCTGAACCTGAACCTGAACCTGAACCTGAACCTGAGCCTGAGCTTGAGCTTGAGCCTGAGCCTGAGTCTGAGCCTGAGCCTGAGCCTAAGCCTGAGCCTGAGCCTGAGCCTGAGCCTGATCCTAAGTCTAAGCCTAAGCCTAAGCCTAAGCCTGAGCCTAAGCCTGAGCCTGAGCCTGATCCTAAGTCTAAGCCTAAGCCTAAGCCTAAGCCTGAGCCTGAGCCTAAGCCTAAGCCTGAGCCTGAACCTGAACCTGAACCTGAACCTGAACCTGAGCCTGAGCTTGAGCTTGAGCCTGAGTCTGAGCCTGAGCCTGAGCCTAAGCCTGAGCCTGAGCCTGAGCCTGAGCCTAATCCTAAGTCTAAGCCTAAGCCTAAGCCTAAGCCTGAGCCTAAGCGTGAGCCTAAGCCTGAGCCTAAGCCTGAGCCTGATCCTAAGTCTAAGCCTAAGCCTAAGCCTGAGCCTAAGCCTAAGCCTGAGCCTGAGCCTGATCCTAAGCCTGAGCCTGAGCCTGAGCCTGAGCCTGAGCCTGAGCCTGAACCTGAACCTGAACCTGAACCTGAGCCTGAGCTTGAGCTTGAGCCTGAGCCTGAGTCTGAGCCTGAGCCTGAGCCTAAGCCTGAGCCTGAGCCTGAGCCTGATCCTAAGTCTAAGCCTAAGCCTAAGCCTAAGCCTAAGCCTAAGCCTAAGCCTAAGCCTAAGCCTGAGCCTAAGCCTAAGCCTAAGGCTAAGCCTGAGCCTGAGCCTGAGCCTGAACCTGAATCTGAACCTGAACCTGAACCTGAACCTGAACCTGAACCTGAGCCTGAGCTTGAGCTTGAGCCTGAGCCTGAGCCTGAGTCTGAGCGTGATAGTGAGCCTGAACCTGATCCTAAGTCTAAGCCTAAGCCTGAGCCTAAGCCTAAGCCTAAGGCTAAGCCTGAGCCTGAGCCTGAGCCTGAGCCTGAGCCTGAACCTAAACCTGAACCTGAACCTGAACCTGAGCCTGAGCCTGAGCCTGAGCCTGAGCTTGAGTCTGAGCCTGAGTCTGAGCCTGAGTCTGAGCCTGAGCCTGAGCCCGGGCCTGAGTCTGAGCCTGAGCGTGATAGTGAGCCTGAGCCTGATCCTAAGTCTAAGCCTAATCCTAAGCCTGAGCCTGAGCCTAAGCCTAAGCTTAAGGCTAAGCCTGAGCCTGAACCTGAACCTGAACCTGAACCTGAGCCTGAGCCTGAGACTGAGCTTGAGTCTGAGCCTGAGCCTGAGTCTGAGTCTGAGTGTGAGCCTGAGCCTGAGCTTGGGTCTGAGCCTAAGCCTGAGCCTGAGCCTGGGCCTGAGCCTGAGCCTGAGCCTGAGCTTGAGTCTGAGCCTGAGCCTGAGCCTGAGCCTGATCCTGAGCCTCAATAGTACAACCAAGCGATTGCTTTAACGATAGTCGTAGTCCTTGTCCTAGCCTCAATATTAGCCTCAACTCTAATACAGCCATAGCAATAGTCCAAGCGCTAGCCGTTAACTAGTCTTATCTTTTTTCTACTCTTATGTTCTTCTCAAAATCGGGGTTAGTCTTTCCTTAGCTTTATCTTTAGTCTTAGCTTTAGTATTAGTCTAGTTTCCTAGTTCTTGTTAAGCCTACTATAAACATCAAGAAACACTACTCTAGTCCAGACACAGAAAATGCAAAAAAATTGTCAAAAAAGGTTTTTTGACCAAAATGTATGTTTTGTACGTCAGAATGTAAAGTAAAATAAATAAAATACAAATAAGATACAATTATATGACAAAATAAAAACCAAAAAAACTACCCCCAGATCAAGCCGTTCAACTCCACCTTTAAAAAATAAAAAAAAAGTTGGAGTAAACGCAGAGTTTTGCCAAATAAAACACAAATCAATCAGAATTTGCCTCCGGGTGGAGGGATCAGGCCCTCTAGTGCCTTGCCTTCTCTCTTTATCACATATTATGTTTATATATATTTTTTGGGCCCCCAGGGCTTTTTTATAGCTGTTTTATTGTGGAATTTCTCTCTTTTTTTGCCCTTCGAAATGCCACCTGTTTCGGACTGTTCGCTTGTTTGTTAGTGAAAGGCATGCATTTGTAAAGCCGTACACTGTTTACTCCAGTAATTACGTAGGGTTTGAATTGTAATTGGACAGGTTTGAGTTGTAATTAGATTGTAAAATACGTTCACATCTTTCGTTGGACAAAGGAACCTTTAAATTGTTTAAAAATCTATAAAAAAAGTATGATTTTGACAATTTTTGATATTGTGGCATTTTGCCATTTTTTTCCAATAAAATTTGTTACATTTTGTCTCTTCTTCCAATAAATTTTGTGACATTTTGTCATTCTATAAATATAGTTTAAATTATAGAAAGACTTTAAAATCTCCAATAATTTTTTTCAAGACATACATTGTATAACGTCCAGAAAAAATTGTTTTTCAATAAAATTTTTGACATTTCGCTACTTTTTCCAATAAATTTTGTGACACTTTATCATTTTACAAATATAGTTTTAAAACTTAAAAAAAGACTTTAAAAAGCTATTTCTAAGAGCTATATTATATACTTTTTACAAAAAACTCGTTTTAGGTTTTTCCAATAAAATTTTTGACATTTCGGCAATTTCCTAATAAATTTTGTGACACTTTGTCATTTTACAATATAGTTTTAAAACATAAAAAAATACTTTTAAAAACTATTTTCAAGACAAATAATATACTTCCTATAAAAAAATTTATTTTTAGTTTTTCCAATAAAATTTTTGACATTTCGTCAAATTCTCAATAAATCAATTCAAAATGATCATAATGTATTGAAAATCCCAAAGATGTAAATTTTAACTACATTAAACTGACTTTTCAACTTTTCAAGTTTTATAATAATTTGTGCCACTTCGTCATGTCTTCCAATAATTTTCTGACATTTTGTCATGATTTTCAATAATTCTGTAATATTTCGTTCAATTTAAGAAATCATAAAAGTGAAAGTAAATAAATTATAATTAACTTTGTTTGATAGTATTTTAAAGTAACATAAGACTTTATCAATAGCTTATGACTATTGAAAAATAGCCTAATGACAAAAAAATGTCATAAATGTTGTCATCCCCTTTCAAAACCAAAAAAAAATCATTTTAAAAGTCAAAACTCACAAAACCTCTGGATCTCAACAATGTTTCCAAACAGATTCTGATTGATTTGCAGACTGTCCATCCACAAAAAGTCATTGAAGAAGCTCAGCTTTGTAGGTAATGCGTTAACACCAAACAGAGCTACATAAGCATGCCAATAGGCGTGCCATTGTGGCAGAGTTAGATTTTTAGCTAGCATGCACATCCACTGGTCCCATAGAGGAGAGTCGGCCGTGTTTGGTACAGTTTGGTTTGGAAAGTTGGTCAGGTTTGAAAGAAGATTTGGCTGGGCGGGTATTGAAAGGTTTTGAGCCATTTGAGCTTGGTAGTTTAGTTGAGATTGGTAAAGGGTGGCTAAATTTAGAAAAATGTAATTTTGGAGTCATTTTCAACAATTTTTAAAAGATTTTTTGATTTTACATTACTTTACCTTACCCTACTGTAACCTACCCTGCCTTACCTTACCTTAGCCTACCCTACCCTACCCTACCCTACCCTACCCTACCCTACCCTACCCTATTCCTACCCTACCCTACCCTACCCTATCCAGCTCTACCTTACAAATAAAAGTTTACATTGCGCTTACATAGTATTGATTTTTAACTTTTTTCCTTCCCTGTCTTACTAGAAGGAAAGATATATACACTTCGTCTATACAGTATTGATTTTCAAACTTTACTAATCTATAACTCTCTATAGACATTACTTTAGTTTGTAAAATACGCTACTACTACTTTACTCTACTTTACTAACCTTATCCTACCCTGCTCTGTCATTTCAACGATACTTACTTCAATATTGCCATTTTGTTACCTAAAAACTAAAAAAATAATATCAGTCTTTCCGGAAAAGAATGTTACAAAACTGCACAGTGCAGTTTGAAGAAATCGCTGTCGCGCCGAGAATTAGGCGACAAGCGACAAGGTCTGCGACAGTCGCTTGCACCCGGCGACATCACAATGGAAGTCGCAATGTCGCAAGTGCAAAGCTTTGCGACAAACTGTCGTGTCGCGCTTCGAATGGCGATGCGACAGTGTGTCGCGGTTGTCGCAACGCTCAAGCTACAACTGTGTTCAATGGAAGGATTGCGACACGTTTTTTTGACTGTTGCAAGTCATTGAATCCTGCGACAACCGACCGGTGCGGCACTGAAGGGATTGCACTGTGCAATCTTTCCTCACATCGTTGGCTGTATCGGGTGATCGCGCGGGAAATCTGCACTGTGCAGCGGAATAAAAAGGGCGCGATTTTCTCGGGGACTGCACCGTGCAGCTGTAACATTCTTTAGTGGAAAGACTGATAAAAACCCCTACCAGTATCCAGTGGTTGAACATTAACACAAGTAGTAGCGACAATATTTGTGGCAGCTCCAGGCGACACCATATTCACATCACGGTGGATCGAGAAAGACGTTGAAGGTTGATTTTCATTGTAATTGGGAGGAATTGGCAATGGCGAGACTTCAGTCATAAATACTTCACTCGACTGATTGGTACAGTCTGTATCAAGCTTGAGGGGCTTCATACTGAAATTTTTTACAATTGTTTATACATGTGGCGTATTTTACACAGAAAAAAGCAGTCTAAGACGTGGAAAAAAAACCAAAAAATGAAAAAAAAATATAAGTAAAATTGCAAAAAATTAAAACTTTCAAAAAAATGTTTAAAATGTCACAAATTAGAAGATTCAGAAAGAGTAACATATTTAAAATTTTTAAGCTTTAAGGGTATGCCATTTTTTTGCACCTACACCCATCGCATAATATTGAAAAACCTATCCTACTTTTTTTAACCCGACCAACCTTCTTTTACCGTAGCCCATCTTACCTTTTTTACTTTACCTTATCTTACCCTACTTTATTCTACACTACCCTACCCCACTCTACCCTACTCTACCCTACTCTACTTTACTTTTTTACCATGCCCTTTTTTCAATACCTACGCTACATATTCTTATCGTACTCTACTGTACTTTTTCTTCTTGGTAAGCCAAAGTCATTCTGCAATACGGTACCCGACCTAATCCTGCCCTACATTACCATGCCGGAAAAGCTCCCATACTAATACGACCTATCGTAATTTATCTTATGATCAATGTGTACCGTACCCAAAAGATTTGTTTTACTTTATTATAATTTACCCTACCTTACCCTTAAAATTCACCCTTCTCTTCTCTTTATCTTACCCTTACAATTTACCCTATCTCATTCTTACCTCTATCTTACCTTCATAAGTTACCTTACTTTACCTTAAACTATACTATCTTACCCTTCTCTCTACCCTACCTTCATAGATCATCCTACCCTACCCTTCTTTTTATCTTACCTCACTAATCTACACCACCCAAAACCCGCCCTCCAAAACTCCATGCAAAGTAGTGGTATAAACGCAAGGAAAAGGAAAAAGTCATAGCGATTGCAGTGTACCGTCAAGATTTTTGGACCGCAAAATCCCATTGCGAGAGCGCGACCACTCTCGGGCGGCCAGAGTTCGAAATCGAAAAAAGTGCGAACAGACCGGAGGTGATTGTCCTTTCTCATGGGTAAGTCGATTTTACAACTAAGGGGTGTTTAAAATTTTCTTTCAAATAAAAAATTTTTTTAATTTTTAAATTTAAGCTAAATATTTAGTTTAGAACGCCCTAGCTTGGCTAAAAGTTAAAACGAAAGCCTTTAAATCATATTTTAAAAATTTTAATTTTGTTATGTTATAATTTAAAATTTTATAAAAAAAATATTTTTATGAAGTAAAAACCGCCAGTAGTATTTTACAATCTTTAAAAATAGTCAAAACCCAAAAAAAATGCTCAAAAATGAACTGTCAGCCTATTTTTAGCGCAATGTTTGTCCACAACGAGCTGGTCAACAGAAAGAGAGTGAATATTTTGTTCCGTTCGAGAAGGTTTTTCACTACAAAATGATGACTAAACAACGTCAAAACTACCCTACCCTACCCTACCCTACTCTACCCTACCTTATTCTACTCTACCCTACCCTGCCCTACCCTACCCTACCCTACCCTACCCTACCCTAATCTACCCTACCCTACCCTACCCTACCCTACCCTAGCCTACCCTATATTACTCTACCTTACACTACGCTACTCTACCGAACCTATTCGTCATAGCCGGGCGGAAGACTGTCTTACTTTACATTTACACTATCGTAAACTGATCTACCTTCACCATGTTTTACTTTACTACATATGTCCTCTTCTTTTCTTTTACTCTAGTTTAATCGTAGCATTTTACTAGACTTGCCATAGTCTTACTTTAGTCATACATAGCTATGCTCTACCCCTATTTAGCCATACCTTGTCGCTACCCAGGTCTTAGCTTTAGCCTTATCTTAGTTGGACCACACTCGTATTTCTTCTGCTCTAGCCCTACCTTAGCCTTACCCTAGTTCTACACTTACCTTATCTTAGCCTTCTTCTTGGTCTACTTTACATTACTCTTTAACGTACTCTATACTATTTTGTTTGAAGTTTGCGTTTTTTTGCCGTACCACCTGTTTGCTGTACATATTATAGTCCAATATCTGTTCAATCCACAAGCAATCAAAAAATTTGTAACCTTTTTTTTCTTTTTGCATTGTGATCGCTGTACACATCTGCTTTTAAAAATGCTTTATTATATCAAAAATGAGTCTACAGTACAACTCAATGGCCATAACCATACTCTTTACTTTTTCAATGGCAAAACGGCAACAGCAAACTTGTCCAAAGCTGGTGTTTTTGCTTTCAGGTCGCCTTTTAAGAGGAGTTCCAGGTTAGCCAGCTCATTTGTGAAGAATTTGTATTCCTGTCCCAACTTTTTATCAGCTGGTATGGCAAAGTACTCCTTCTCTATATAGTTTAAGAATTTCTCTACAATTGCAAAAGACTCTTCATCATCCGCACTGGTTTGGACGGCTTCGTTACGCATTTTTTGATAAAGAATATAAGCTTGTAGATCAGTTTCCGAATGACCTTGTTCTTCTTTAATCCGCTTGTAGATTTTTCTGAACGTGCCTGCGTCGTGCTGAAATTTAATACTGTAGAAATTATTGTAAATACCCTACCCTACCCTACTGTACCCCACTCTACCGTACCCTACTCTACCCTACCCTACCCTAACATACCCTACCTTACCCTACCCTACCTTACCCTACCATACCCTACCCTACCGTACCCCACTCTACCCTACCCTAACCTACCCTACCCTACCCTACCCTACCTTACCCTACCCTACCGCACCCCACCCTACCGTACCCCACTCTACCCTACCCCTACTCTACTTACTTCACCACCTTCAGCTACAACTACAGTGGCAGCGAACAACAAAACAAAGGCCTTCGAAAACATTATTTTGCAAATTAAAAACTCTTCAATGTTTCATGAATTTAAATACGGCAAAAGTCAATTGGAATTTGATTTTACTTTAAATTGTTTTAAATAAAAAGTACCGTTTTTATGCGTGTGTTAATGTGATCACAGTGTTTTAAAATTGATTTTAAAATCACAATGAAATTTTAAATTATTTTTTTGGAATGAACAGTTGACCTTAAACACTCCTGTCCTATTAGCTAAGGCTCAGGCTCCGGCTCCGGCTCGTGCTCAGGCTGCAGCCCTTCAACCCTAGCCCTGTAATGTAAGAACACTAATATAAAAATTCAAAAAATGTTTAATTCGAACTTTATACCTTACACATATATTCCTATATATTAGGTTGTTAGGTAAGTCGTGGGCCCCCTTTCAACACAAATGTTTGAAAAATCAGGAAAAAATTAATATATATCGCAAATTGGAAATTTTGATGTCCTTTTATAGTTTAAAACCTATATTTTCAGAATATATAAGTTTCAAACCTCTTTTAATTTTTTGTTTTGTTGTTTTAGTGGCCAGAACATTATAGGGCAAATGACGACTTTGGGTAGTGATGTAAAAGAGTACAAAACAAGTCGTAACGTTAAAACTACGGCCGGATTCATAAATAAGACACATGGACAAAGTAATGTGAGCTACACAACAGCAAAAATTTGGTTCCAAAAGCTTCCTTCTGGAGATGAGACGCTTGAAGAAAAGTGGAAGTCCTGTAGAGTAGTTCTCTATAATTCCTTGAAACTTGGCCAAACCATAACTGTTAGTACGTATTCTATTAATATTGACCAAATGCGCCACTATCTACCTTCAAAGTTGAGAAACAGAAGGTCAATTATTGTTCATGAAAGTGTCCGCCCCCACTTGGCAACGATGACCGCAGAAAAACAACGGGTTTGGATACAAAGTTTTTAACCATCATTTGTATTTACTCGACATGATAGCTACATATTACCATATTTTCAAATCTTCGACAGCATTTATGTGTCAGCGACAATCCACTGAAGATGACGATGTCATGGAAGCTATCAAAATTTTCTTAGGCTCTAGAAATTCTGAATCCTATACTACTGGGATAAAAATGCTTAAAAACGTTGGACACATTGTGTTAATGTTGATGATAACTATTTTGATTAATAATTAGTTCTTGTTGTAACGCAAAAAAATTTTTTTCTGATACACAGTTAGGGGCCCACGACTTACCTAACAACCTAATACATGATATTTTGATAAAAGCTAGTTTAAAACAAAATGCCAAAAAGTGGCGCCAAATTTAAAATCTCATATTTTAAACTTGAATTTCTTGGCTTTAGATAAAAATTAAAACTTGCTACTTTCAGAAGTTTTTACTACTACTACTAGCTACAAGTATACCAAATTCTGTAAAATTTAAAATTTTTTTTGAAAATTCTGACTTTATTATTATTGCAGCGCCAAAACTCTAAAAATAAGCTTTTTTATGCTTTATATACCTCCATGTTCAAGTATATAACTTCATGTTCAAGCTATTTCCCATTGTTATGCAGGCCATCTCAAAGCAACAACCTTTGTAGCGCATCGGAATATCGAAAACATTAGTGAACGCTTTCATTTTTCGCTCGAAAGCCCGAGCGAACAGCTTTTTTCTCCATTTCGTGCGGCATTTTGCTGGAAAATGGACGGTTTTTTATGCTTCTCCTCCGTTTTTTAGGCTAAATCTGGGTGGGGAATGAAGAAATAAGATCGTTTTTCTTCTTATCAATTTGTCACCTTGCTGTTTCTTGGTTTTACTATCAGTTTTAAAGATGTTTTCTCAATTTATGAGTAGTTTTCAATGTTTTTTCTTGGAGATTTTATGTCCGAATGTTTGGTTGATAAAGCTGAATATTTTTAAACCTAAAATTGTAAACTAAAACACTTGTGATATTGAAAAACCAAGACGATGTGATTTTAAAAGGTTTCACGGAGTTTGAAACAGAAAGTATTTAGTTTTCACCAAACTTATATTGTTGTAGGTATCACAACCTAAAAAGGTCATAAAATATTTTTTAATGAACAGAACAAGTTCAAAATTGTTATAAAGATAGACTATGGTATTGTCAAGGTTATCGTAAAATTTCAGACAACAGCCTTCGTTTTTGTCAAAAATTATATTGTTGTAGGTATCGAACCCTGACAAAGTCGTACCTCAAAATTTATTTATCAAATCGGTCTAAACTTCTGTGTACATCTTGTAACTACTATTATTATTGCTCAAAAAAGAATTCAGCTTTTTCTAAATTTTTTGACGTCTTTAATTTCGAGTTTACCATCCCCGACAAAATTTTGTAACGAAAAGCCAGAACAGTGTTTTGCCAACATTCCACGTGTTTTCCCGCGTTTTTTCGTTTGATTCACTTATTGTATAATATTTTTTCAGCATATCTGCTCGTTTTTGCCTTCATATTTATTTCTCTTTTTGGTTTTCTTCCTTTTTATATTGTTGTTGGATCAAAAATGGCGGTAAGTTAAAGTTTTTTGATTTTGTTGGTTTTTAGGTAAGAATAAAGGTCTGAAAAGGTGGTATATGAACGAATAGTCTTCTTAAAGTATTGAATAAGAAATTTGTAAAAATTAATTGTTTTTGGCTTGAAAAAAAATGTTATATTTTTCATGATCACCTAGTTGCGTGGCTTTTAATATTTTATTGTTTTATTGAAAGTTCTTTTAAAATTAACTTATAGGAATGCAGATACATCATGTAAACTAAGAATATAGGCCAAACTATCTTACCTATCTGTTGAATCATTTAAAAATTCACTTTCAGTTCGCTTATACTTCTTATGCTGGATATAACAGTTTTGCTAATGGAGAGGATGGAGCTACTGGCGGTTCGGGAGCTTACAACCCTCGGTATCATTTCCAAGCCGCTCAAAATGCTGGATTTAACCTCCAGAACGATGATGGACAACCAAAGGTTTTGTAAGTTTGTTTTTTTGTTGGTTTTTCTTGTTTTAGAGGACTTAAAGAAGTGGTTGATGAAATTTTAGTCGATGTAGAGCAATATATTGGCTTTTAGATGTTAAATTGGGATTGATAGTTGGAGAAGGCTTTAGAAAAGGTTTAGAGAGCAAAACCTTGATGTTTTAGGTTGTTTTTGAGTAACTTCTGGGTGATGTTGTTTTAAATAACTCTAAAGCGGTAGTTGGTTAACTTTTGGTGATTTCATAGCGATTTTCTGGGTTTTTTAATTGAAGATTTATAAAGACAGGTTCAGAAGGTTTAATATAAGCTTTAACCGATTAAATTTTAATGTTTGTACTTTTAGGTATGTTGGTAACCTCGATACAAGCGTGACGGAGGAGTTTGTGGCCACGTTGTTCAGCCAAATCGGTCGTTTGGTCAAGACCAAGGTCATTTTTGATGTAAGTTGTGGTGGTCCTGGACAAAGTGGCGCCTCTGTCTCTTAAGTTGACTTTTTACAATTTTTTTTTCATTTTTTTGAATTGTATTTGGCGGTAACTTTTAAAAAATGGCCGAACTATGATAAAAGCTTATTTTTTTATTATTTTATCACAATGGTCGAATTTTTTCAAAGTTATTGTATGTTTTTTGATTTTTTACATTTTTTTGAATTTTTTTGATATTATTGTGGTCAGTAACGATAATATTTCTGTTACAGCGCAAAGAGTAGGAAGATTGGGACCCATAAAGACTTGAGCCGTGAGATTTTTCACATTATTTTTATTTTTTTTTCATTTTTATTAGTATTCAGTCTTGTAACTTTTGGTGGCAAATTTCAAAGATTAAAACTAGACTAATATATGCTTAATTTTAGACCACTTCCGACCCATATGCTTTTGTGGAATTCGCTGACCATAATTCGGCTACCCAGGCTCTTCAGGCCATGAACAAGAGAATGTTGTTGAACAAGGAGATGAAGGTCAACTGGGCCACACAACCTGGCACTCAAGCCAAGGTGGATACAAGCAGTAAGTTTGTTAGATTGAGGATGGAATTAGCTTGCTTTGGCGAGAAAATGATGTTTTTAAATTTTAAATTGTGTATAGCATAATTTTATATTGTAGTAGGTCAACAGATAACAATTTTTTAAAATTGGTTTTTTGAATTTGGATGAAAAAGATCACAAAGATGTTTAAGGTTGTGTTAGTTTGACTGTCAGCCCGATAGAATTACATTAGGACACCGATACGAAAATTTTTTATATTATTGTAGATCACCAATGAATAATTTTTCTTTTCAGGACATTTCCATGTGTTTGTTGGAGACCTGTCACCTGAAGTTGATAACAAACAATTGAGAGAATCTTTTGCACCATTTGGCGAAGTTTCGTAAGTTATTTTTGTTATTTTTTTATGATTTTAGGTATATGATTTATGGCAGTCTAAAAGATATTGTGAATTAAGTCGGCTGAAAATTAGGTTTTTGGGTTTTCCGGTTGCTTTTTTCAACTCCTCTTTCAATTTTCTTCTTTGCTGTTACCTAAATTGCCAATTTACAGCGATGCCAAAGTGATTCGTGACCTCCAAACCACCAAATCCAAGGGTTATGGCTTTGTGTCGTACCCCAAGCGAGAGGAAGCCGAAAGAGCCATCGAGCAAATGAATGGCCAATGGTTGGGCCGTCGCACCATCAGAACAAACTGGGCCACGAGAAAGCCATCGGACATGCCAGAAAACCCACGCGGTCCTCAAGGTGGACATCATCATCGCAATACCTACGACGAGATCTACAACCAAGCGGGCCCGGACAACACGTCGGTCTACATTGGCAACATACCACCATCGTCCACGGATGATGATGTTAGGAATATATTCAAGAGATTTGGTACAGTTTTGGATATTCGCCATTTCAAAGTACAGGGATACTCGTTTGTTAAGTTTGATTCGAAGGAGTCGGCCGCCAAGGCCATTTATGAAATGAATGGCGCTGAGTTTATGGGACAGAACATTAGGTGTTCATGGGGAAAGGCTGACGTGAGTTTTTATGGATTTGGAAGTATTTTAATTAAAAAGTTTTTTTTGAATTTTTGAAAAATTTTAAATTAAAAAAATCAAAACACTTTGAATTTTCTACAAAACCTGGTCTTAATATCAATAATTTAGAGCCAACGCCCACACAACGGCCCAGGAGGCGGCTACGGCCCGGCTGGACCAGAAGCCGGCCATGGTGGTATGCCAGGCTACCCATATGGAGCCGCCGCTTCAGCTCAACAACAACAACAGTACTGGCACTACTACCAACAGTACTACAATAATCCAGCCGTACAACAACAATGGCAAGCCTACTACGCTCAAGCCGGCCGAGGCGCCCCACCTGCTGGTGCACCACCTGCCGGAGTACCACCTGCCAATCCTGTCAAGTACGAATAAAATGGGACAGTTTTTATATTTTTATGGTACTTTTTTGTTTTAAGAGTACCATTTTTGGCTATAATGGGGTTTTTTTTGTTTTTAGTACTATTTTTTTACTTTTGGTACTATTTTTTGCTGTGTAGTGCCACTTTTTATTTTTATGGTATTTTTTTCTGTAGTAGTACTATTATTCTAATACTATTCTTGCGGTACTATTCTTTCTATTTCGGTACCGTTATAGCCAAGTATTACGAATAAGAATGATTTTTTGATATTTTTTGTGGTTAAAGTCTTTTTTATCGAAATAAAATATTTTTGTTAAAAATTTTCTCTAGATACCCTTCTAATTGTCAAGACTAAATACATTATTATTATAAGTGTTAAAACGTCAGTTGAATAATATTATACTAAATATATTTTCCTTTTTGTCTGTTGATCCACAATTTTATTTGGTTTTTCCCTTTTTTGGTCTTGATAAATGTTATTTTGAATGCGTTTGGCCTGTTTGAGAATAAAATACGTTGTTTATGGTCTATTACCAATATTTTGAATGGAGATGTTACCTAAATTTTGAATTTTTAAAGTTTTTTTTGAAATGTTACCTAAATTTTAAAGGTTTTGAAATTTTGATTTGTCAAATTCATTTTTTTCCCGAATATTTTACTTGGAACCCTTTTTTATTTTCTTTTGAATCTTTGTTATTTTTTGAATAAATTGATGTGAGTAAAACAAGGTCTTATGTAGAAAGTAATGTTGCTTTATGTAATATATTCATGGATTTGTGTTGGAAGAATGTATTTTTATAAGCTTTTAAAATTTTAAGGCATTTGATATCTTAGTTTTATTAAAAAATGGCTTAATAGTCGAGAAAACCCGATTTTTGAGAGAATATTAGGGATGAGCTTTGGAAAAACTGCCACAACTTTTTGGACACGCGGCCAAAATTTTCAAAACTGGTTTTAAAATAAAGAAAATAAGCTGTTCTAATTTTTTCGGTACAACTCCCCGGTTCTCATAGTTTTTGACTTATTTTTGGATCAATAAACCTACCTCAACGTCAGATATCAAGTATAATATCGAAAATCTTTAGATGTCGGGCAAGTTGATGCATGACGACGATGAATTCGTAGAGTTCGAAGCAAAAGACTTTCAACAAGATGCTGACGCACATCGCGAAGCCCAGAATGAGATGGAGAATGCGTGGGAGAGCACATACGACAACGATGCGCCCGGCGGTTCGGCCGAGTTTCGCCAAAAACTGCAAGGCTTTTTGGGGGAATATATGAACAAAGGACAATGAAATGGGTTGATTTATTGAATGGTGAGTTAGATTTTATTATATTCGATTTGGTTTTTAGGGTTTCTTGTGAATTGGATTGAATTCCGTTGAGTTTTGATCAAAAGCGTGGAGTTTCTCATGGATAATATAAAGTGTTGTACATTTTGATGAAGACATTAAATATGTATTAAAATTTGTTGTGGAATATATTTTTTTGGTAAAATACGAGTAAATTGTGCCTTTTTTGATGTTTTTTGATAATCAATTAGTGAGAGGAAGATTTGACTCAAGGAAGGGAAAACTTGTTTCAGAACGAGCTTTGGGTAAAATGGGTTGTGAAACTAAAGATTTGTTTTAAGGAATGCATTTTCTAGTGAAAAAAATTAAGATTTTGATAATTTATTCACCAGTTTTAATAATCATACTCGGGATACACAGTATTTCCCTCAAAATCGTCTTCAGGAGAACCCAAAGGATCGAAATCGTCTTCATCATTGTTAGTGTCAAACAAATCATCGTCGTCAGTATTATACAAGTCATCAGCGTCAGTATCATACATGTTGTCATCTTCAAAGTCGTCAAAAGGATCGAAATTATCAATATTATCTTTGTCATCATCGTCTTGATCAAACTCATCAAAGGGGTCCACTGAATCATCGTTGAATTCATCGAATGAGTCAAAGTCATCAACATTATCATTTTCCATAGCATTGTCTTCGAATTGATCAAAAGGATCAGGGTTTTCGTGTCTAAATCGAGCGATTTGTTGAACTACTGTAATATTCTTGGCCGCTTCTTTGTCCAAAGCTTCCTTCAGACGAACATTGTAGAAGATTGAGTCAAATAACTTGGCTGAAAAGGTAAAATACGTTCAGTGGGAGAGTTTCTGTAAACTTTTTTTCAAAATTTTGAAAAATTTTTGGGGCGGTGTAAATTATGGTAGAGCAGGGTAAAAAGTTGAGTAGCCTTGGGTGCTAAATAGCAAGATAGAGAAGAGTAAAGTAGGGCATATTCGGGTTGGATAGGGCAGAATGGAGTAAGGTAGGTTATGACAGAGAAGAGTAAGGTAAAATGAGGCGTTTTATGGTAGGGTAATCAGATAAAAAAATTTTTTTTTGAAAAAATGAAATTTTAAAAATTCCAAAAATCATGCCTAAACTAATCTTACATTTGAAGAAATTGGTGATTTTTGGGTAATACCCAAAGATTTCTTCTTTGATTTCATCTGGCAGTTGTTTTAGTTGCTTCTTGATTTCCACTCCGTAGGCCGCGGTTGATAAGAATACCTGCAAAGCAAAAAAATTTTTAATTTTAAATTTAAAAAATGAAAAATTAATAATTTTAGCTATCGAAAAAAAATTTTTGTTCTTAATAGTACTGCGAAAGAACTAATGGATCGATCAAAAATGTAAAAAAGCAAAATTTTCAACAGGGTCCCCCCCCTGTGGAATTTTTAGTAAAAAATTTTAAAATAAAAAAAATTTTTTTTTCAAAATTGAAAAAAAAACTAATTTTTAGGTAATACCTGACCTATCTTTTTCAAAAATCATACCTGTTTCAAGAAATCCGAGGCATTAGGGCTCATTCGATTGGCCAACTTCACGTACTCCTGAACTGATCCATCCACTTGACTTTCCAAAAATTTGTAAAATTTCGGTGAATTCTTCGAAATGGCATCAAACACTTCATCAAAGTTGTTGAATTTGCTGTATTCTAACACTACATCCAAGGCTTTTTTCAAGTCATCGCTATCAAATTTGGGTCCACTTGAACTTCCACTAGATGTTGTAGTACCATCCTTTTTTTCGATCGGTTCTGGAGTTGTTGACCCAAAACTTCTTGACCGGTCGAAACGAAAAGACTTGGTAGAAGATTCTGAAGCTGTTTGTGAAACATTGCCACTTTTGGCTTCTCCAAAATTGACTACTGGCCGGCGGAATACGGTCGAGGCTCCGGCTTCTGGTTCGGTCGATATTGTGATTGTTATTAGTAGAATCAAAAGTTTGGTCATTGTAGAAGGTTTCCTATTATCTTCTGATGATTTTAATTACAGATACTTTTGGTTTTGTCAGTAGGAATGACAAGAAATGACAGTTTTTTTCCAAAGAGTATACAAGTCTAGCGTAATATAGAAAAATAAGTATAACTAGACTAAAAAGTGTACCAATAGTACTAAAATTAAATTTCAATACTTTTTCTAGTATCAGTAGCTTATTCTCATCAATATACAATAAACAATGACAGCAATAAAAAATTATGTTGTACTAGACATCAACCAATATCTCTACCAACTGATGCCTACTATAATATAACTTTTTGCTAAAAATACGCCAATTTATATCTAAAAATCACAGGGATAATATAATATTCTATATATGTGTCTAAAATAGGCGTAGAAATAGTCGAATACAACAATCGTAATGTTTACTCAAATCGATTGACGTTAACGTTGCAGGTGGTCAAACACGAACAGAACGCTGACATTTGGACACAATTTCGTGTTTGACAATTTACAAGCCTACAAAATGCAAATTTCAAAATTTTTTGCAGTTTTGGCCTTTATTGGAGTTGTTTATGGTCAGGCCGGCACTTTGTTACAGTATATTCCACCTAATGTGCAGGGTAAGGGATTACGGTAGTTTTAAAAGGGTACAATAGTTAGGGTAAGGCCAGATAAGGGTAAGGGCAGTAGGGTATGGTAGGGTAGGGTAGGATAAGGTAGGGTAGGCTAGGGTAGGGTAAAGTAGAGTACAGCAGGGTAGAAGAAGGCAAGGTAGAGCATCAAATACAGTAACCATTTTAGCCGTCCTTCCAACAAAGCTAGTCCAAAGTCTGAACATTTTATCCTGGACTGACTTGTCAAAAGGAGTGTCTATTATTGATTCAATCCCAAGATTCACTAGTTTTTCCCAATTTTTGCAAACTATTGATATCAATGCTCCTGCTTTGAGTACGGTACTCAACAGTAACGTCAATGATCAATATACTCAATATATGCAAACTGAAGCTACGTTGAGTCCAAATGCCAAGGCTTTTGTTGATAAGGTAAAATACGATTTCGTTAACTTTTGTTCCAAACTATAAAGTCTAAAAATTTACAAAATTGTCATTTTTAAAAACATTTTTTAATTATTTAGCTTTTCTACGTACTTTTGGACCCATAATGATAAAGGTTAAATTTGTAAGCATTAAAGACGTGTAAAACGTATTTTACAAAAAACTTCAAAAAAGGAAAATTTAGGTAAAACAAATGGCTAAACAAACGATTCAACAGGCTAAACAGCTATACCAATCTAAGGACATGACCACACAACAAAACGTACAATTGACTTTCCCTACCATGACCAAAGTGGCTTCTAGTAGGTTTTTAATCTTCTACCCTTTTTTTTTCTTTTTCGTCTGCTTGTTCTTCTATTTTTTTCTTTATCTTCTTCTCTTTATTCTTCTTCTTCTGTTCTAAGTAGAAGTATGGGGCAGAGCAAATCAAGACCAGGCAAGCCAAGGCGAGGTAAGGCAGAGAAGAGCAAGATAGATCAATTTTTTTCTTCTTTGTCTTCTCATTGTTCTTCTTCTTTTTTTCATTTTCTCCTTTTCTTCTTCTCCTTTCTCTTCTTTTGCTTTTTTTCTATATTCTTATTCTCCTCCTTACTTTCTTCTTATTCCTTCCCCTATTCTTCCTTTTTTCTATTGTTTCTCTTTTGTCTTTCTCTTTTCCTTCTTCTTCTTTTTGTTGTTTTTCTATTTTGCCTTCTTTTTGTTCTTTGTTTTTCCGTTTTTCTTCTTCTTACTCTTCTTCGGCCCCTTCTCCTTCTTTTTCCTCTTCTTGTCTTCCTCTAATTCTATTTTTTATTCAAAAATACAATTTTAGGCGACCAGTTCCAATCATTGATTATGCCATGAACAACAACATCATTTAACAAGATTTTATAATTTCAAGTTGTGAAGTAAACATTTTTAAATCAAGTTCTTTCATCTACTGTAAACTGTAACATTCACGAAGTCATTGTTTAATCATATTTTCATTTAAAATTCGATCTTTGTTCAAAACAACCATTATCAACCGACCATACACATCTAAACTATTGTTATCATTGATCATGTTGAGGAACTCCTTGGGGTTCCCTATAAAATCGGCTTAACCAAATTAAAATCGATGAAACCTCGTGTCAACACAACCTTTGTATGATCTTTAATTGTTGCTAGACTTTTAAAGGTTTGCTGATAAGTTATGAGAACAAAAACTCAGTACTAAGAAGCTTAAAGGCTATTTAAAATTTGTTGTTGATACAATCGTTGACGTATAAAAGGCATCGAGATCAAGTGGGCAATAAGACTGTAGATAGGTTGTTTCTACAGCAAGAGTTTAAAGTTGTTTCTCTATTTTTATTGTATCTATTGAAACTTTGTACAATGAAAACTTTTGGTATTCTACTGCTTTTTATTAGTACTGGTAAGTACGGTAGGGTAAAAGACAATGTAGAAACGTAAGGCAATCTAAAGCTAAGTAAGAATTGTAGAGTATGTACATTAGGGTTGAGTAAGATAAGATAAGGCTGAGTATGGCTAGAGTAAATCTAGGGTAGAACTAGGGTATGGTAAAGCAAAATAGGTTTGTGTATAATAAGGTAGGGTTTGGCAGGGTAGGGTAGGGTAAGGTAGAGTAGGCTAGAGTAGGATAGGGTAAGGCAGGGTAAGGTATTGCAAAACAATTTAACGTACTGCCATTTTCAGCCCATGCCCTAACAAGCACCTGGACAGAAACGCTACATTTCACTAAAAATAAACTTGGAAATTTAGAACTTATAGTAGATTTATCATCTTCTAGTTCATTTTTGATTGAAGCAAGATGTGAAAATTGCCCTTTTAGAGGTATAAATCGACGATTTTTCCCCGAAAAAAGTGCTTCTTTCGAAGAGGCTGGATCAGTGTTTGAAAAAAATTTTGATGAAAATTTGAATAATGGTAAAGGCGGTGTGCTTGGATACACTGGAAAGGATGTTGTGGTAGGTTTTACTCCAACTTTTCTTACTTACCATACACTACCCTACCTTACCCTACCCTACCCCACTCTGCCCTACCCGATTTAACCCCCTACCCTACCGTACTATATTGTACTACGCCCAACACTAACCTGCCCTACCTTGGTCCTACTCTACTACTCTGTCCTATCACACTGAACCTTACATTGTCCTAAACTACCCTACACTTCCCATTTTCTTGCGCTGCCCATGCTCTGCCTTGCCTTGTGCAGTTCAGTCCAACCCAGCCATAGCTGTCCTGTTCTCCCTTGTGCCACTCTACCCTACTCTATGACGTATATATAACCCATGATCTACCTACCCTACCGCACTTTAATTTTCAAAATTCCAGGGTAATACAAAAACCCAAAGAGATACTTTTGGCCTAGTCAAGCGCCTAAACACCTTTTATGACCCAGCTGAAACATTGAATAGAGATCGAGTTGCTGGTCGACTTGGTTTGGCTTTGAAAACCAAAGACGAAACCAACTTATTAGACATTTTCTTTGAAGGAATCGACAAGAAATTAGTTTGCTTTGCTCCAAAATGCTACAAAGATCAGTAAGTTCTTCAAGTTGTACGTTTGATTTGGTGAAGCAATTAAAAAATTATAATAATTGTTCCAGGTTTACCGTATTTTACACAAAATCATTACTTTTAATTTAAAATTGACTTCGTAATTTTATGTTACCCAATTTTATACACAATATCGTTTCAGAAACGGTTTTGATCACTGTGAAAACAACGTATCTAAGGGTACCTTCCCTGATCAACTTGAGTACAAAAACATAACCCAAGTTAAGGTTATTGACACTCGACAAGAGTTCTGGGAGTTCAAAGTAAGTTTTCATACCATAATCCTACCCTTAGCCCTACGTCAGTTCAGTTATAAATCTATAGTAACTGTGACAGCTCATATTTAAATTTATAGTAATTTTTTTTAGCCTCTACTGTACTTATAGTCTAGTCTAACCCTAGGCCTACTTTTTAGCCTTATTCTAGCTTCACAATGCCCTTATGCTATTCGTGCTCTAGCTTTAAAATAGTTAGTAACTACTTTACTTTAAGTTTTAAAGCAACACTATATGTAAGCCACTCCTATCTCGTTCTACCCTACCTTACCCTACTTTACCCAATTCTACTCTATCTTACCCTACCCTAAATTGTATTATCCTACCCAGCTCTATAATTTTCTATACTACCCTAAAAAGTTAATTTTACATTTCCTTTACACAGCATTGATTTTTTTACTTTACCGCCAATCTATCTTACTCTACAGTAAATATTTAACATTACGCCTACTTAACGCTACTTTATTCTTCTTAAAGGACCAGTTCGCCCATTCAGATATCATTGGCATTCTGTCGCAAAAAGTGTCGAAAATCAGGCAATTTCAATCAAAATCATTTTTCTCAAAAAACATGAGTGAGTCGGTGTCGAAATGAATTTTCCAATTTGGGACCGACCTGCTCAGGTTTTTTGCGAAAAAAATGAACGTCGAATTTTTGCGACAGAATGCCAATGATATTTGAATGGGCGAACTGGTCCTTTAACACTACCTTTACATAACAAAACTTTTTTCAGGTAGAGGCCTTTTCCCATCCCTCAACATCTTCAAAGTCCTTCAACGCCATTTTGTCTACTACAACATCAGACTTCACTATCCCTGCCGAAATCTTTAACACTCTCAAACTCCACTACAGTGCTTTCAAAAACAAGGACGGTCTCTATCAAGTTGACTGTTCCCACCGTGATCGGAACACTCATTTCGCTTTTACCATTAATGGTGTTAATGTGCCTATCTCAAGCGACAAACTGATTGGCTATGATATATGGTCTAAGACTTGTCATTTGAGAGCTAAACCAGCTGTGGGCTTCTACAGTAACACATGGGTGTTTGGTACTGTATTTACGGATTCGATTGGAATTTGTTTAGATTTTGATGATAAGCAAATTAACTTTATTCAGGTTTAAGTTATTGCTGGACAATAAAATTATGTCGTTATTGTGAGAAAATTTGATAGCATCAAATGCTTTAGTATTAAACGCTTCTCGGAAGTTAATAAGTATCATATGTAGAGGTAGATCCGACTCGCTGAATGTCCCAATTAAGAGTTATTATCTTAGTTGCCTATGTCTTTCCAAATCGCAACCAATGAGCTACCCAGGCAAACACAGATTGCCTTTCCACCTCATCGTTTGTGAATTGCACCGTTTGACCAGACCACATTTGTTCGAGAACATTGAAATTATTTTCGACTGTATTTTCAACCATGATCTTGTTGTTGAACATAACTTTCACACCTTTCTTTTGCTTAGCTTTAAATGGATTCAGATGCTTGTGAAAGAGAATTACTGAAGAAGTATTGACCAAGTAAATTAGTGATACCACAAAGAGGTATAGTTGAAATACAAATTGATATGCGAAAGTTCCAAACTCGATTATTAGTTGAGTTGAGGTTAGTAATACTACGGCTAGTAGAAAGATACATAAAGTTGTTTTAAAGCAGGTGGAGAAGTCTTGTATTAGCTTGATGTGTTGGGAGAGCTAAAAAAAAAAAGGTGATAAAAACTCTAGACTACCATACCATATGCTCTTTTGCTCCATTCTACCCTACTAAACCTTTCACTACCATACCCTATTCTATCCCACCTTACAATACCCTTCTTTAACCTTTCAATGCTGCTGCCTCTGTATAACAATATCGTATGAGATACAAATATGATAAATCATACCTCAAACTGCTTTGATAGCGAAGCAAATCTGACTTGTTGATAGCTAACGGCTAGTGTTGTTTTCAATAGTGTGTAACCCTGAAAGAGCCAAACGTACACAAAGTTTTGAAACGTCTCTAGCTCAAAAAGAAAAAAAAACTTACCGTAGTCGTAAAAGAAATTGAAATAAGTTGAAGCGGAACCGTAAAAGTCATACTCGATGTAAAAAATTTGATCCCTGTAATTTTTAGTTTGTAAATTAAGCAGTAAAAAGCAGTATAATCAAGTAAGACTCTTCAATTTTCATAATAATGTTAAACAATAACAAATAGTTATACAAATTACACAATTATTAAATCATGTCGTCGTGTAATTTAGTTTGACGATAGGTAGTTTTAGTATCAGTAGCTTAGACAGGGTTATGCATACGATTTTGTTCTGATGTAGACCTGAAAGGAGTTCCCACTAAGCAGCCCGAGCGTCAAAAATGCGGAAGAAGCAGGCCGAAGCTTGCAAGCCGGCTGTAAATGAAAGCCTCAGAAGTTATTTGAACTGTTCAAACAACATAATCTTTTGAATTGTTTTAAAAATTAACTTACGCATATAAAACGACACTCCAAAGAGAACGCATATTAATACCTAAAAGATTCATCATGAGGAAAAACTTTCTAGTTACCCCAACTTTGCTATATCAACCAAAAAAATCCAAAAAACCTACCGTAACAGTATAAAAAACAACCATAACTTGTGTTAACATTTTACTTTGCATCAAAGTTGATTTCAAATAAATTTCTCCACAAACAAATGACAAAAACAATAATTGCCAGCTGAAAGCGGCCGCTCTGATACTTCTGATCACTTCGCCCACCGACGGACTCAGAAGTTTGCTACCGACTAGCTGGTTGCTTATGATACTAAACCTGCAGATACTGTAGATGACACAAAATACGGCATTTAATAAGAAGATTTCAAACTCTTGTTTTCTTAACGATATACGATGTAGTAGGCTTGTGAATACAATGACTGACACGGATATAATAAAAACATTGACAGCTATGTCCAAATATAGTAAGAATAGAATTGAATAGCTGTTTATTTCTAGATCTGTAGCCCATACTACAGTTGGGGTAGTTGCTGTTTCTCGAGGATTTGAGTGTAGAACAATAAGCAATATAATCAAAAATACAAGCAAGTTCAGTAGAATTAAAAACAATTTCATTTTGTGTAAAACAATATGACAAAGTTTTACTGAACAGCAGTTTATAGACATCATCATAACAATAGAGAAGGTTGTTCAAAAGTGTTATATATGTCAGAACATTTGTTGAGAAATGTGAAGTCAAAGCAAGCCTTTTTTATCACGTCCTTGTGTATAAAAATATATAATTTAGTAGGCGATAATTAACAGCCAATGCAGATAATCATTAGAAATTAGAAAAGGCCTTCACTTGCCGGTCCCAAATTTAAATTGAAGTATCGATATTTTAAGAAGTTTTTTACAAAATAATAGCAAGAAAGGTGGGTAGACAGAAGTGAAATGACCAACCAAAAGACTATTTTTAGAAAGTTCAGCCTGGTCGCTCTCATAGAATAAAAGACTACACCCATAATCTCATCGTGCTAATTAAATACAGTGAAGCTCCTGTATAACGAAACTCCCGTGCAACGAACAACTTTTAAATCCCTGTCTACCACTACACAGTGCATTTAAAACTCCTGTATAAGGAAACTCCTTTATACCGAACAAATTTCAAGACCACGAGCAATTCCGTTATACAGGAGTTCCACTGTAAATCATTCCGTACTATATGAACCTTCAGCTCAACCAGACATGGAAGTTATGCCTCTCAAATTCTAATCTATGTCCTTCAATATAACATAGCTGAACCACATTTTTATTCACTATCACTACAAAAAAGAAGTCCACATTTCGTATGTTTCATAGTTTGCTACTATTTGGAGGTATTTTAAAAACCCGCGACGATGCTGAAACAGCGCTGATAGTCGCTACCGTCGTCCTGTATCTGTCCATCCATTTTCGATAAGAAGGCATTAGACTTATCACTACAACACTGTTATACACCGGTAATAAAGCGAATAGTATTCCAAGCGAATACGTAATATGTTGTGGATTCATTTGTAGTAATGCGGAGAAATTATACAGTCCAGAGGGTACTAGAATGTTTGTCAATGGATAGACGGCCTGCAATTGGTCATGAATAAACCACTAAACGGGGGAGGGGTGAGAGAGAGAATTTGCAGTCTGTGTACTATGTATACATGTGAAGAGTAAGATCAGAAGTAAAATCAAGGTAAAGTACCTCACCTGCGCAATCATAATTTTCAACATTCGCTGCTGAGCATTTAAAGTTTTGGGGTTGGCTTTAAAACGTCCAGTACGTAATATTTTCATAGTTCTACATCCAAAATAAACAATCATAATATAAAAGACAGCAATAATAGCTTCGTAATGAAGCAGACGAATTTTGGCTGTGGAGCTTGGCTAAAACACAAAACTTAAAAAAAGATTTACCCCGCCTCTCTTATCTTATTTATTAGTACCTTTCGCCAATTTACTCTCCCCTACTATCTTCATCCATGCCTTACCCTACCCTAACCTATTCTAGCCTGACCTGCCCGGTTTTTCCCTGCCTTGCCTTGACCTGCCTAACGGACTCTGCCGACCTATTCTTCTCTTCGCTACCGTACCCTACCTTATGGTTTTCTTCCCTGTCCTCTCTGCCCGTTTCTCTATTTTCCCTTACCCCACTTCACCCTACCCTACCGAATGTAAGATCTCAACCTACCCCAAACACACAATATGGTAACTTCGATATCGTATCTTCAAAAAACCCTTTCTCAGCCAATAGTCCATCATACTCTTTAGGGTCAGTTAGTAGTACACATGCCAAAATATAATGGATCAAAACCCAAATTGACAGTATAAAATACCGTTTTATATATTTCGCTCTAGGCCAGCCATTCTGATTACAAATCAAGTCGTATCTATACCAAAAGTGAACTGCATGAGTTAGGATTAACGCTAACATAAAGCAGTTGAATAAAACTATGAGAAAGTTGGTAATGTAAGATGGTATTGAAGATAGGAGAGGGTTTTGGACAAATATTACCATTACTCCATAACTTGTTATTGTTAACTGAAAGAACGTTATAAATATACTGTAGCATGCCATACCCTACTGCGCCTTGGCTTCCCTTACTCAACCTGGTTCTACCTTACTCTACCGTACTTTACTCTAGTACTCTACCCTACCTTACCTTTTACCTTACCCTACCCCACCCACCCTATACCCCCACTTTACATTACTCTAGCTTACCGTACCAACCCCTACTTACCGGTAATACCAGTAAATTCACCAAAGTAAAAAAAAGATCTACAGAAGTGTTGAACAGTGTAATGAATCCATATTCTTGTTTGTCCACCCCTGGTGTATGACAAAGTTTATAAGATAAAATAATAACGAAAATACACAAAAACAAAGAAGTTACGGCAACAGTAAGTTGTACCACCAAGTATATTGTGTTGTCTGTCATTGTATAAATGTTAGCTCCGTCTGAGAGTTACAGTAAACTAGTTATAGTCAGTGAGTAGAATTGTATCATCATATATTATGGTAAATAGTGGTAGATAGTAGGTAGTAACAAATAGCAGGTAGTAGTACCTGGAAGCGTAAAATGGCCAAAAAATAAAAATTTGTTACAGTAAAAACCGACCGCAATAAAGCACAAGATATGTGTCAAAATAGCAGGTTCAATTGTATTTTTAACAAATCTAATTATAATATTTAAGACATTTGTAGAAACATCTGTCTTGAATTTGTAGACACGATTTGATTACTAATCATAAACCATTAAAACTATTAAAAAGCTTTTTCAATTGTCATTTTCAGCTGGTCATTTGTCAAAAATATGGTTTTTGACTTCCATTTCTAATACATAAAAAGTTTTGAAACATACAGTTGAACTCCTGTATATAAGTCCCTAAGCCAAGATAAAACAAGTTTGAAAGCAGCTGGGCCGGATGATGCAAGCTCAAGAGTAGGTATCCAAGTTAGGCCTGGCTCTTTTACAAGCCTACTCTCTACAAAACCTAAAAAACATAAAATGAACGTACCTTTTGAATTACTCTTCCTTGTTTAAACCGCGTCATGTCCAAATAAAACATAAATGACTCACATCTTAAATTTATTACTTTTAAGCACGCTCAAAACATAAAAGAAAATTAACATTAATAACAAACAAATACCTTTATCATGGCAAAAACAACAGACAATCGTCAATTATTAACAATAAATTAATTTTTACTGCCTGTTATGACGAGTTATTGTTGTTACAAGTTATTAGCTTTCGTTTTAAACCCAGCCTTATAATATATGGCAACTAATTATAGATAAAGTGTACTTTACCAACACTCATCACCTAAACCAATATAAATCCTGGAATCAAAGGCCTAAAATTGCAAACTGTAACTTCAAAAATACTGCTGAAGCATGTTTTAATCTTTCAAACAAAACAAGCCGCACATGAATTAGATTCACGTATTTTATAACTTCTTATTACCTAAACTAATATAACTCTTCTTCCAGAAATCAAAAACACTTAAAACTTATAAAAAACAATCACAAAATGCTCCTGAACAATGGTTCTTACTTTTTAACCCAATAGGTTAATAATTCTCTTTAATATCCGTATTTTACCAAACTTTGTTACCTAAATTAATATAACATGTTATAACACTCCTTCCAGAAACAAAAATTTAAATTTAACAACAACACGTACAAAGAACTCGTAAATCATACTAAAATCCTCTAAATCAAAATGGTTTATTCATTTCTTCGAAACCTTTTTTTATTTACCATCATTACCTAAAGTAATATAAGTCCTTTCCCAAAACTCCAATTATTTAAACTCAAAAATAAAACAACAAAATAGCTTACATTTAACTTCCTTTCAGTTATAATCCATGGCATTCATATTATCAACATCAAATCGAGCAGCTTTTCAACCTTTCGTATATTCACTGTGACCAACCTTCATCCAAGCAACTTCAAGACGATTAAAAAATGTAGATACTTGCCCGAATACATGTCCAGAGTTAGATAAACATCTGTACAGTTATCCACATTTTTTACCAAGAATCTGGACCAGTAATTGACCTGAAAATAAAATAATATTAATATCAACCATGAAGGATATAGGTTGGTCAAGTATAACATCAAAATTCGGCGAAAAATATAAAAATTTAGGGCAAATTTATAAAATATAACAAAGACAAGTCTATTAGCAAACTTTTAAACAACTTTTCAATAAATTACTGCTATAAATTTACAGAATACCATTAAAAAAAAGCAACAAAGTCGGTCGAAATAGTATAAATGACCGTTTTCTCAAGTTTAAAGCCTAAAATACACAAGAATACAAAGGGATGTAGCTAAAATTGATTTAGTAAATAGAACTCTACGTATTTCTTTACCAACTAAGTAAAATACATCACGTTTTGCTACCCAAATTCAAGGATTTCGAAGAGAAAACTAGAAGGAAGGATAATATTTTTTGATCGGGTCAATAGTTGCATTTCGAGACGTTTTGAGCCGATAAAACAATTTTTTGTTGAAAAAACGACGATAATTTGTTCCAGAATCATGTTGTCGATATTATGGATAACATGATCTTCAAGTTTTGTGTTTATTTCTGCTTTTACTGGCTTTATTACCAAAATCGTAAGTTCTTATATTGTTATAGCCAGAGTTCCCACGGGCTCCGGAGCTCATTTTTGAAAGTGGTCGGAGCTGGAGCCGGAGCCGAGTTTTTCTAGGATGGCTCCACATTTTAATTTTTATTATTCGAGTAGTGTAAAAAGGTCTCGAAAAGAAAACTATCCACGGCCAATTCAAAAGGTTGGCATTGCGATAAAATAGTTTTTTGGACAAATTTTTGTGTTATTTTCAAATGGAAGCAAAAAAGCGCCGGAAGTTAGATGTTTCAAAATCGTTTGACAAAAGCGATGTGCAAGAAAATGTAATTGATGGTAATTGCAAATACTGCGGTGAAGAACTAGGGACAAAAACATTTAACGTCAACAGGCACTTTGAGCGGAAACACAAAGAAATTCACGTTAAGTTTATCGATGAAAAGTCTTCGAAACAGCCTACAATTTTTGCCTCGTTTACACAAAAGTCAGCATCAGAAGTTGCCATGAAAAGGCTTGTTTATTATGCCGGTTCCACAAGCTTTCCATTAAATCACCTGCGAAACCCACATTTTAAGGTATGGTTTTAAAAAATTGAATGTTTATGTTTTTTTAGAGCTTATTGTCACTAATTCCTGGATTTAAAATACCTCATCCGCAGGCATTAAAGAACAGTATGGAAGAGGAAATCAAGAAGTTCGAAAAAACAATAAAACATATTATTGGTGACCGGCATTACGCTATTTCGTGTGATATAGCAACAGCAATTGCAAACTCACATGCAGCTATGGGCATACTAGTGCATTTTATCGATGAAAAACGGAAAGCGCTTAGAGTGGCAGCTCTAGATGTTGTCCAGTTTTCCGAAAAGCATACAGCAGATAATATACGGAACTGCATTTTCAATTCTGTCACTAATTATGGATTGAGTCCGAGTAGAGTGATTCGTGTGGTCTCAGATGGTGCAGCTTCCATGCGCGCGGCTTTTAGGTATGTTTTAAAAATTTTTGTTGTCAATAAGTTATTTTATCTCAAGTTTTATTTTTGTTTTATAAGCTAAAACTATTAAATTACTAAACAAAAATTTTTTCAGAGAAAGGTTTGAAGACGAAGATTCATATACGGAAGATGAGCAAGAAGAAGTTTCATTGGAATTCACTGAACGATTGGCTGAAGATATTGACATTGTTACTTCAGAAAAAGATGATGAATACCTCACGAATGGATTTAATTCATTTAATATATGGTGTGGAGCCCATCGATTAAATCTGGTTATAAAAGACGTGATGAAGGACAAAACATTTGAAGCAGTGAGAATGGTAATATAATGTTATTTTTTTAAATACGACTTTTAGAGGGTATTCAAGATTGTCAACAAATTTGCCCGTTCACCGGCTGCACTCCAAAAACTGAAGCAAACGGCTGGAAAAACAATTATTTTTCCCGTGGTGACACGGTGGTTATCTGTGATAACATCTATGGAGCGAATAGTTGAGATTTACGGTTGCATCAATGAAGTTGCTGAATCAGAAGGCTACGGTAAACTGACAGAAAAAGACGTAAAGTTAATGAAAGAATTTAACGAACTTTTAAATCCTATCAAGGAGCTTCTACTTCAACTCCAATCAAAGCCAAATGGAATGCCAAGGCAGTCAGGTTTAACAATATCTGTCCTTGCTGTTGCTATTCCAGCTTTGGTTGAAAAATACAAGGTAAAATGACAATTTTTACAATATTATAAACATATCTTAACTTTTAGAGAGAAACAGTACACAAATCATTGGCAAAGAAGGTTGTATTCGTGATTCAGAAACGTTTTGTAGACATACTAATGAAAAACGACCCGGTATACACCGTTGGAATAATGGGAGATATACGAGGATTTCAACAAATTGCAGCCAGAAGAGACCAGACTTTGTCTTCATTAAAGTTACTTGTAAGTTTTTGAATAAGTCTATATTTTCTTTAGGCTCAACAAATCAATTTGCTAGACATTGATGACATCCCTCAAAGACCATCGTCACAGATGGCACAAGCAAAAGGATTCGGTTTGTCGTTTCTTCATGTTGAAGATTCCCCTGACGTCGCAAACGCAAGAGGAGAGCTGTCGTTAGAAACGGAACTAGACGATTTCCTTATCGAAGTTGCCAAAGGGTCATACTCAAACTGGGACAACTCAATTGCATATTGGATCGATAACGAAAAGGTATGGCTATTATATGAAAAGTAATCTCAGTTATGTTTAGAAATGGCCTAGACTCACGGCAATATGTTTGGCAGCATTAACAGTACCCGCGGCTTCGGCAAATTTAGAGCAATTCTTTAGCCGTCTTCAAGCTGTAACCGCCTCAAAGCTCTGCAACTCTCAGCATGCCTTAATCAGACAAAAAATGTTAATGTCTTTTAATTCCCCATACTCTGAATAAGTTACATGTACTTTTTTATTGTTTTAATAGTTAAAAATTGTTGTTGTATTAAATTTAGAAAAGATAAAGCTTATTTTTGGTTGTTTTTGCGTTTTTTTTATATAAAAATACGATTTTTATTGATTTTGTGCCCTCGGAGCCAAAGCCGGAGCCGGAGCTTGCGAAAATGTCGGCTCCGGAGCCCGGAGCCGGAGCTAAAATTTGAAAATGGCCGGAGCCGGAGCTGGAGCCGGAGCTAGGATTTCTAAATTTGGGAACTCTGGTTATAGCCAATGTTTAGGTAATTTCCAGCTTAAAAACCAAATTTTTTGGCCAGATGACACTATTTTTCAAATCTGTGCTTACTAATTGATTGTCCATGAATTTATGACAAGACGCGTTATATTATGACAACACTTTCTATATATAACAAGGATGTGCCGCCAATTTACCGAAAAATAATCAAAACGCCTACGGCATGCAATTGACAGGTCCCACTTGAAAGGGGTCGTATTTAAAATTGTCTATTCGAATATTTTTCCGATTTGCGGGTTATGGCGGGGGTACGGTAACTGTTTAGGCGTTAATAGTATTTTTTGGATTTTTTTCGAATTTAATTTTTTTAAAATTTGAATTTTTTTGATATTTTAATAATCTTATGACATTGTGAATAGCCCTAACTCATTTTAAGCTTTGTTTGATTTCAAAATGTCATTTTTGTTTTAATATTGCTTTCAGTCTGATGGTATACTCATTCGGGAGTGTCTTGAACAACGTTAATACTTATTGTCAAGACAAAACCAGCCGGCTCAAACAGTCATTTTCACCTAATCGTAAGTGTAACAAACATTTTATCGTCAACACAAGTAGTACCCTACCCTACTTTGCCCTACCTTACCATACCCTTCCCTATCATACCCTACATTTTTTGCCTTACTCTACTTTGCCTTACCCTTTTACAGAGAATGCTTTACCTACAGTAGTCTAAACAACAGACAGTTCACTATATAAGCCAACCTGTTATTCCTTTGGTAGGGAAGGCAGAATGGAATAGTAGGGTAGAGTAGGGTAGTGTAGTGTAGGGTAGGGTAGGGTAGGGTAGGGTAGGGTAGGGTAGGGTAGGGTAGGGTAGAGTAAGGTAGGGTAGGATAGAATAGGGTACGGTACAGTGCGGAAGGGTACGCTAGGGAGGGCAAAAAAACACTTAAAATCTAACAAAAATGGTATTTTAGGTGCCCAATCCCCATCGAATCAAACATCCGACTTGGAGCCCTCACCAACCTCAACTTCATCAATGAACGGTATTCCGCCCAACCCTCGTTCTCAACAAAACCCAACAATAAACGCCCCTCAATTCCCTCCAGCACCACTCATAGCCCCACCACCACCACCCCGCCCATCACCAGTCCCACCGTTGAAGATTCAAACTGAACGGCCCGAGTCTATTGATACCAAGAAGTCGTACAACTTCTTTGATGACTTGAACAATGAGCCTGATATGCAACGCTTGACCGACCAGTTGAATAAGTTGAGGCCTGCTGAAGAGCCGTTGAGACGGACTTCGGCTCCTGGTGCTATGCCGAGTGCTGGGAATGTTGGAGGTGGAAGTACTAATGGTGCTATGCCTACTGGGACGGGAAACAGACGATATTCGGAAGAGTACAGGGACAGAAATTACCGTAAGAAGATTTATTTTTAACCATTGACCTTTTTATTAGCCTATGGCTAGTATACTATGGCTAGGCTTAGACGCTTTGGCCTTGTACTTTAGGCATTTGTCCTAGCTTTAGGTTGGGCTAGGACAAATTTTTAGGCCAAGATTGGGAGAAAGGGCTAGGGCTAACGTATTAAAAATGGCATTCTACTTTATACATATTTTACGGCTAGGGTTAAGGCTAGGGCTCTGAGCTAAGGCTTTCGACGGAGGCCGGAGCTAAGTCTGGGGTTAAAATTAGGGTTCTGGACTAATTCTAGGGCTTGAGTTAAGGCTCGAATTTGGACAAGGACTAAGAGTAGATTTAGAGCTACGGCTAGGGCTAGTATTAAAGCTAGAGTTAGGACTAAGACTAAGGCTAGGGCTAAGACTGGGTCTCCGAGTTAGAGTTAGGATTAAGATAGGGCTAATACTAGGGCTAGAACTAAGGTTAGAGCTAGGGCTTTGGGCTAAGACTTGCGCTGTGGGCTAGGACTAGGGCTAGGGCTAAGGGCTCTAGTAATCATAAAACCTATACAATTTCAGACAATGCGGTAACTCCAGCGCAATTCCGAAAAATAGGTAAAGAGATGATTGACTTTATTGCCAATTACATGGAAAATGTCCATAACCGTCGTGTAGTCCCATCTATCGAACCCGGCTATCTTCGTGAGCTCCTACCCGAGACCCCACCTTCACAACCAGAGACTTATGACAAAGTGATGCAAGACTTTGAAGCCTACATCATGCCAGGTGTTACCCACTGGCAACATCCCAGATTCCACGCCTATTTCCCGGCTGCCAATTCTTATCCAGCCTTGTTGGCTACAATGTTATCTGATGCGTTGGGCTGTGTCGGCTTTTCATGGGCTGCTTGTCCGGCTATGACTGAGTTAGAGACGATTATGTTGCAATGGTTTGGAGAGATGATTGGACTGCCAAAGGAGTTCTTGCCTTTCACTGAGAATGGCAAAGGTGGTGGGGTTATTCAGGGTAAGGAAGAAGGCTGTATTTGGGAAAGATCGTATACTTTTAAGCACTTGTGTTACAAGGAAATAAAAAAATTTAGGGGATGGGCGCGTAAAAAATTTTTAGGGTGTGGGCGGGGTAAAAAAATTTTTTTGGGGACAGAAAAAATTTTGGGGGAAAAAATCAAAAAAAGTTTTAGGGAATAGGCAATATAAGAACTATAAAAGTGTGGGCGGGGTAAAAATTTAATTGTGGGGGGGGTCAAAAAAATCCAAAAAGAATTTTTGTATTAGGTGCGGACATAAACAACCCGTCATACTTTTCCTGTAATTTCCTGTATAAAATGGCGGGTTCTTTATGTCGGCACCTTATTTTAGGTAGCTAGCAAGTAAAGTACTCGACCTGCCCCATCCTGATTGACTTTAAACTGTTTATATATAAAGATAATGTATTATAGAGAAAAATAAGACCTTCAGCCATGTACTAAATGGCGCTTTTCAGCAAATTCCAAGAAAACCAAGATCAAAATATTACGTTTTAAATTTTCCGCCGATTTGGCATTTTGTTTCAAGCTTATAACTTTGTCTTGTTTTGACTTGTAATTATTTTTTTTTGATATAATAGTAGAAAACCTTTAAATGAATTGATAGTTTCAAATTTACGCATGCACATTTTCAAAGCTTTTCAAGCATTTTTGGATTTTTACAAAATTTAAACTGTTTTATGTCAAAAAGTGGCATAAAAATGCCAAAACGGCATTTTAGCCAAAATCGCTTTACCATGTGTCTTAGAACGGTCCTATTCATCGATTTATCAAATAAAAACAGGGGGTAAATTTCTAGGGCACACGGCCGTTTCAGGATGCTTCATGGTCTCAGAAATCGTCTTTTAAAACAAATGCCAAGTTTGCCAAATTGGCGGGAAACCAAAATAAATTAAATTTAAAACTTAAAAGAGCAAGCTAAAATTTTTTATGGGTTCCATTGGTGGTACAAGGAATTCATATAAAAATTTTGAGCTGATTTTGAGCGGGGCTGGTAGGGTGAGTTTGAGTGGAAGCATTCCTTATGAGTTTGAGTGGAGAAGGTTGGGTACTTTCCTTTTAGGTAATAAACAATAAAACAAAAATTTTTTTTTGATAGTTTTGTTCGAACAACCTTAATAATATAAAGCCTAATATCAAACCCAACAAGAATACTATTATATTATAAAACTAACAATTTCAGGCTGCGCAAGTGAGTGCAACTTTGTAGCTCTATTGGCTGCGAGGTTCGAACTTATGAAAGAGCTACGACAACGCTTCCCTTTCGTGGAAGAAGGCCTATTGATGAGCAAACTAATAGCGTATTGTTCGAAAGAAGCCCACAGTAGTGTTGAGAAGGCCGCAATGATTGGCATGGTAAAGCTAAGAATCTTGGAAACCGATTCCAAGTATCGACTGAGAGGTGATACTCTTCAAGCTGCTATTACGGTTAGTTTTTACTTGTTGTTTTCGTAGAGAGAAAGTTTTAGTAAAGGAACTTTTTGCCATTTTTTGTTTTGGAAGGAAAGTTTTTGCCATTTTTTGTTTTGTAAAGAAAGTTTTTGCCATTTTTTGTTTTGGAAAGAAAGTTTTTGCCATTTTTTGTTTTGGAAAGAAAGTTCTTGCCATTTTTTGTTTTGTGAAGAAAGTTCTTGCTGTTTTTTTGTTTTGTAAAGAAAGTTCTTGCCATTTGCGTCAAAATAAGCTATTATCTCGCTTTGCAGGCTGCGGGTGACAAGTTATACGATAAAAAGTATTTTTCGTTTTGTACAAAAACTTCTTGCTATTTTTTGCTTTGTAAAGAAAGTTCTTGCTATTTCTTGTTTTGTAAAGAAAGTTTTTGCCATTATTTGTTTTGTAAAGAAAGTTCTTGCTCTCTTTTGTCTTGTAAAGAAAGTTCTTGCCATTTTTTGTTTTTTAAAGAAAGTTCTTGCCATTTCTTATTCTGTAAAGTAAGTTCTCGTCATTTTTGATTTGTAAAGAAAATTCTTGTAATTCTTTGTCCTGCAAAAAAAGTTCTTGCCATTTTAAGCCCTGTAAAGACAGTTGCTTTTGTAGACTAGAAACTTTATCTTTATTTGACATTTTTAACCACATCTCCCATTCAGGAAGACCGCAATCTCGGTATGATACCCTTCTTCGTATCTACAACTCTAGGAACAACCTCAGTCTGCTCTTTCGACGTACTAACAGAAATTGGTCCAGTATGTTCAGAAAACGATCTATGGCTTCATGTAGACGCCGCATACGCTGGCTCAGCTATGATTTGCCCAGAGTTTAGGCATTTGATGAATGGTATTGAGTATGCAATGTCATTCAATACGAATCCAAATAAGTGGATGCTGGTTAACTTTGACTGCTCAACCATGTGGGTGAAGGATCGATTCAAAATGACACAAGCATTTGTTGTTGACCCTCTGTACCTTCAACATTCATGGACTGACAAAGCGATCGATTACAGACATTGGGGAGTGCCTTTGAGTAGAAGGTTTAGGTCGCTTAAGGTAAGTGTTGTTTTTTTATTTTGTAAAGAGAGTTCTTGCTATTTGCAACAAAAAAGCTATTTTTGGATTTTGCATGCTGCGGGTTACAAGTTATACGATAAAAAGTATTTTTTGTTCTGTAAGGAAAGTTCTTGCCATTTGTGGTTCTGTAAAGAAAGTCTTTGCCATTTTATAGTTTGTAAAGAAAGTTCTTGCCATTTTATGTCTTGTAAAGAAAGTACTTGCCATTTTCTTATTATTTCAGCTCTGGTTCGTAATCCGTATGTACGGTGTGGAAGGTCTTCAAAAGTACATTCGAAACCACGTCCGCTTGGCCAAAAAGTTTGAAGCCCTCTTGCGCGCCGATGACATGTTTGAGATCATCGGGGACGTGCATGTGGCGTTGGTGTGCTTCCGCCTCAAAGGCAGCGACGAACTCAACCAAAAGCTGTTGACCAAATTGAATTCGAGTGGGCGGATTCATATGGTGCCGGCGTCACTCAATGACAGATTCGTGATTAGATTCTGCGTATGTCATGAGCACGCCAATGAGCACGATATCGTCACGGCGTACGAAATTATCAAGCACGTGGCCGTGGGGTTGCAGTGTAAGTAGCCCTACCTCTATCCCAGCCCCATCTTAGTTCAGAGCCCTAGCCCAGAGCCCTAGCCCAGAGCCCTAGCCCAGAGCCCTAGCCCAGAGCCCTAGCCCAGAGCCCTAGCCCAGAGCCCTAGCCCAGAGCCCTAGCCCAGAGCCCTAGCCCAGAGCCCTAGCCCAGAGCCCTAGCCCAGAGCCCTAGCCCAGAGCCCTAGCCCAGAGCCCTAGCCCAGAGCCCTAGCCCAGAGCCCTAGCCCAGAGCCCTAGCCCAGAACTCTAGCCCAAAGCCCTAGCCCAGAGCCCTAGCTTAGAGCCCTAGCCTAGAGCTCTAGCTTACAACCCTATTTCAGGGCCCTAAAACAGAGTCTTTTAGCGTAAAGTCTTCTAGTCCAAAGCCGTAGTCTAAAGCCCTAGCTCAGAACCCTACACCTAGCCCTAACTCTAGCTTTAGCCCTGAGCCTTACAAGGAAAGGTCCCCACCGCGCATTGGACTGGTGAAAAACTGGTACATACAAGTTGTAGAGCATGGTCAAATTAGTCAAAAACCGAAAAAAAATTTACCCCTCGTGGGGGTTTTTTAAAAAATTTTATTACGTCGAAGTTTAAAAACCTTAATTGCGCTCGCGTTAGACTCGGAAAAGAAGAGGAGACAGTTCCGTGATGCAATAGCGCAGTGGTTGCGCTCTCGACTAACGCTCAAAGCCTGTTGGTTCGTGTCGCGTCGGGGGCACACTCTTTTGTGCTTGGATTAAAATTTTTAAAATAAAAAAATTATTTTTTGGTCTAATTTTGTTTTTTTTTACAATTTGTTCGTTCTATTATTCTTTAAATAGTTATTTTATTTTATTTTTGTTCGTAATAATGGAGAAGTTTTGTTCTGAAGTGATCAACGTGCCTTACGAGCTGGTGGATAAGTATGTGGTTTTAGGAATCGAATAATGGCCGGAAGAAAACGTATAAACAGATGGAAACAAAATTTGAACGACGAATCGATTGTTAAAGGAATATCCGGTCGATTGTATCGTTATGTTGAGCTGCGAAATCAAGAGAATCTGGATACTTATAAGAGTTTACTTGCTGATAAAATGACCTTTGAGAAGTTCAGAGCTATTTGATTGTGCTTTTAGGTAATTATGCTAAATAAATAGAATTGTAAGTATAATAATAAAATTTAAATTATATTAAAAACAAGCTTAATAAACAGAGAAATTGATTCTTTGAAGTAAACAAAACAAAATTTGACCAAAAAAATAATTTTTTATTTTTAAAAATTTTAATCCAGGCACAAAAGGGTGTGCCCTCGGCGCGACCCGAACCGACGTGCTTTGAGCGTTAGCCGAGAGCGCAACCACTGCGCTATTGCAGCACGGCACACTCCTCTTCTTTTCCGAGTCTAGCGCGAGCGCAATTAATATTTTAAACTTCAACGTAATAAAATTTTTTAAAAAACCCCCACGAGGGGTAAATTTTTTTTCGGTTTTTGACTAATTTGACCATGCTCTACAACTTGTATGTACCAGTTTTTCACCAGTCCAATGCGCGGTGGGGACCTTTCCTTGTTAGTTCAGAGCTTTAGCCCAGAGGCCTTAGCCCATAGCCCTAGCTCGAGTCCTAGCCTAGCCCAGTCTATCTCAGATTATATGAGATCCTTATCACAGGGCGCTTAGCCAATAGGCCTTAGCCAAGACCCCTAGCCCCGAGCCGTAGCTCTAACCTAGAAGCCCTATCCCGAAAGCCTAGCTTATAGTTTTAATCCAGGGCCTTAGCATTAGTCAGAGCCGTAGCCTTAGTCTTAGCCCTAGCCCTAACCCAACCCCTGTTTAGCGTTAGCTCAGGACCTTAGCTTCAGTTTTAGTCCTGCCCCAGATCTACTTCTATTATAGTTAGCCGTAGAATTTTTCTTAGTCTCACGTCAGCAAAAGGGCATCCCCTAGCCTTACTTGTAGCCTCAGTTTTAAAACTTTTCTTAACCATAGTAAAAGTAGAAATCCTAGTAATATCTAAACACACTGCACTGATACACAACTATAATATAACAACTCAATTTTTAGTTGACACAACCCCCGAGCCGATAGCCGAAAACTATGAATTGGAAAAGCTGGAGGAAGAAGACTTCCTAAACCAACAAAAGGGTCAATCCTTCGATGAAGAAGGCAGTCTAGGCTCAAATCCTGTTGGACCTTACAGTAATGAATCACTGCCTTCTACCGGTCCATCAACAGCCGGTTTGGACCGCCAAACTCCACCGAACTATCCTGTTGGACCTAGTAGGGCGTTGGTGTTGTTGGTCGTGGCTTAGCTGTTGTTGTTGTATAGGATGTGTTTGGTAGTTGTCGTGTTGGTTATGGTTAACATTGTATGGCCTTTTATTACTGGTATTGTAAAACCATACCTAAGCCATTTATCTTAACTTAGTACCTTAACTCACCCATTTAGATCCTCAAAGCTGTACCATAGCAACAGCCGCCGCCAACCAAGGCATTTCGAACCGCGGCCGTTTCAGTCAGACTTTGGCTGAAAAACGGTCGTTCTTGGTTCGTATGGTCAGTGATCCAAAATGCTACAATCCAAAGATTGTGAGACATTTGAACATGCGCAATCACAAACAAATGTCTCAAGACATGTTCAGAGACCGCGCCATTCGACAGTCGATGGAACAAAGCTCCAGTAGCACCAAGAGCGCCAAGTTTCCACAGAAATGTAAGAGAACTTGATTTTAAAGGTTTATTAGCTGTAGCCTTTAGCTGTAGCCAGGACAGCAAAGATTGGGTATTAAAAATGTAAAGGAGCTAAACTAAGATTTGGTCCAGTTTGAACCTTTTACAATTTAATTTGACTTGGCCCGACCCGCCCGCATTTTTATATATTATAAATTAGTCAAATGGTATCGTACAAATCTTTCGTTGCTGGACCTAAGGTTTGCCTTTGTAGGCAATTTAACTCCCGGGCCAAGTCGCGTTGCGACAGGGTCCGAGTTGGGCGAAAAAACAAAAGACGCGGGCCGAGCCTAACCAAAAAATTAGCCCGATTCGGCTTGAAAACCATTGTCTACCTCTGGGGCGTGATTTTACTTGACCGTTGGACCCAGATGTGCTTGTTCAGCCTGATTTTTTTTAAAAGTTTTAGAGTTGTGGTCCGGTCAAGCTGAGTTGAGGCTAGGCAGGGCCTAGCGGACAACCTTGCAATTATAAAAGCGCATTTGTTTCTTAAAAATATTGTTTTCAGTCAGTCAATACAGTATTGACAACCCATCGGATGAGGACGAATACGTAACAACCGTAGCCTCAAATCCTACTGGACTTCAAACACCGATGTGAACCTTTTGTTTTAACGTTACTCGATCTTATTTGTCCTAACATTTTTTTTATTTCTTAAAAACAGTAAGACTTGAAAAGTTGTAATTAAAATGCGACTTTTGGTCTTAATTTAACCATTTAAAATTTTTTGACTTTAGACCAATATTTTAGAAAATAAATATTTTATTAAAACACATAAGCAACAAAATACAAAATCAAATCAAAATACCATAGACAGGGTCGGGCGCGAGGAGGGGGGGACGGGGGTACCCCCCCAGAAAAAAAATTTTTTGAAAAAAGTTGAACGTGGTTCCCCCTGTGGATTTTCGGAAAAAAAATTTTGCAGAAAATCGGCACAGGAGCTACCTGTGCCAATTTTTTGGACCCCTGCCCCCAGACCAAAAGTCTTCGCCCGGCCCTGACCATAGATCAAACGTTATTTCCAATTAAAAATTGGGGAGAAAAGGAGGAGAGGGGAGTGGAGGGGGGGAATTTTCACCCGAAACCCTCAAAAATCTTTTTTTATTTAAAAAAAGCAAAAAAAATTATTTTTTTTTCTTAATATATTTATATACATATGTAGGTCTTGTTTTAAAAATTGAAAGGTATTTAACGCAAGTTCTTTGCTCGTAAACTGATTTATTAGCATTTTTGGCACATTAAAACTATACGTTTTAAAATTACAACCATAGTAGGTAGTTTACATTACGAAGCATAATTAGATGTTCTTCGATTCGATGACATTTCAGTCATTGTGGTGACCATTTTTTGTCCAATTTTGCGTTGCAAAGCGTGGCGATATGATGGAATTAGTGTCATTACAGATACGGCATTCAGTAATGGTAATAGAAAAATGAGCAGTGTTAAAGCATAGCCAGTAACGACTAAGTCAATGTGAAAGAAAGCAAAACTGATGAGGATTGAAATTGGCAGAAAGAACAATAATATTGGGTAGAAGGCCTGAAAAATTAATATGAAAACAAAAAATTAGGGTAGGGTAGCGTAGGGTAGGGTAGGGTAGGGTAGGGTAAGGTAGGGTAGGGTAGGGTAGGGTAGGGTAGGGTAGGGTAGGGTAGGGTAAGGTAGGGTAGGGTAGGGTAGGGTAGGGTAGGGTAGGGTAGGGTAGGGTAGGGTAGGGTAGGGTAGGGTAAGAAAACCTCGAAATTTTTAAATATTACTTGTAGTGCCATAGTTTTTAAAATAATCTTTTGAGCTTTGACTGTACGTTGCGAAACCAGACGGTTATTAGAACTGATGGTTTTGTGGCATTTATACCCAAAATAAACGATAAAAACATAAACTGTTGATATGATTCCTTGGTAAACCAACAATTTGGCTACTGAGATTGGTGTCAACTAAAAACGAGTTTTTTTTAAATTACCGGTGTTTTTTGTACATAGAGCAGAGCATCGACAAATTGATGTACTCTGCTGGGCCTTGCCTGGCCTTGTTTATCCCTCAATGACCCTACCTAGCCCTTGTTCTTATCTTACTTTGCCGTGCTTTACATGGTCCTGCTTAGACTTACGTGTTCTTGTCCGGCTCTGTTTGATCCTGCTAACCCTCACTGATCCAACCGGCCCTACCTATAATAATTATATCTGGATCTGCCTGGCCCTACATGTTTTTGCTTGGTTTAGTTGGCCTTGCCTAGTCTTAACTGGTTTGGCCCAGCCCTAACTGATCCTGGCTGGTTCTACCTCTCTCCACCTAACCTTGACTAGCTTCGATCGACTTTGTTTGGCCTTAACTGGTGCTGGCTGGTTCTACTGGTATTTGGCTAGCCCTACTTGTCTTCGACTGGCGCTACGTGTAACAGCTTTGCCTTGACTGGCCTTGAGGCTTAGCTGTGGTTGACCTGTCTTTTCATACCCTTCTCTGCATGCAACCTATTATTGAACTTACCCCAAACATCAAAAACGCTTGATAATCCGCCTTGAACAAGTTGATAGCGTTCAAATCTTTGACATAGCTCTCAACATTTTCAATTACCGTAATTGAAAAAATGTAGTCCGCTAAGACAATAGAAGCTACACAAAAGTAGGTAATAACGTAGCGTTTTCGACTCCACGAATTTGTTTTACAAATGATGTTGTAACGGTACCAAAAATGAATTAATTGACTGATACCCAGTATTAGTACTCCGTCAGTTATTAACATTATTACTGCATTAGCCTGTGGATAGAGTAATTTTTGTAGAAACTCGTGTTCTGTTACTACGAATACGATACTTTGTGATACTATTACTGCCTGAAAATGAATGTTTAGTAAGGGTAATGTTGAGGTAGGTCTTACTTAGTGCTTTGCCTTGCCTTGCTTTGCCTTGCTTTGCCTTGCCTTGCCTTGCCTTGCCTTGCCTTGCCTTGCCTTGCCTTGCCTTGCCTTGCCTTGCCTTGCCTTGCCTTGCCTTGCCTTGCCTTTCCTTGCCTTGCCTTGCCTTGCCTTGCCTTGCCTGGCCTTGCCTTGCCTTGCCTTGCCTTGCTATGTTCTTTCCTGCCTTGCTCTATCCTTTGTCGGATTGGCCCGGCTTCTTTCAAATCAGCATTTCCCTGCTCTGGCATAGCCGAGACGCTTTCAACAAGCAGTGATCTAAGGCCAGCGTAAACCCGGTACCGCACTATAACATCTTTTTAAATCTATATAACGTTATAGCCAAAAAAACTTACCGGCATAACAACCAGAGTTACAACAGAGAATACCAAATCTACTGTAGTATTAAAGATGACAATAAACGCATATTCTTGTCGATACTTTGAGGTAGTTCTAGCCACTTTTCTCGATAATATGATAATAAAAACGCATAAAATAATAGCAACAGAGAAAACGGCATAGCACGCGGCTTTGTACATGATGTGAATATTAATTATAGGCATTTCGCACCAGATGTATTTAAACGCTATAATTAGATGGTTTACTACATGATGAGGAACAAAAATTGTGCACGTGTACAATTATCGTTAAAAAGCTTACAGTGGCGGCAAGAAAAAATGGGACACGACGGTTTTAGTTATAACTTTCTTGAAACTAAAAGAGTAAGGCTTAAAATTTTACCCTCGTGCTTCCAAAGTATGTATGTGCATAGATTTAAAAAAAAATCAAAAATGTATGTTTTATAGAGCATAAAAAGTTGTACGATATGTGAAAGTTTTAATGTTGTATCTCCAATGGTAAAAGAGTTACAGATTTTTAAAAATTTAAAAAAGCCTCAGATTTTTCAAGCGGTATCGAACTTTTTTTGTTTTTGAAGATTTTTAAATACCCTTAACTCATTAACAAAAAACAATTGAAAGATAAAACTTCTGAGCTTGTACAAGTTTCAATGCTCTATAAAACGTACATCTTCAATTTTTTTAAAAAAATTTATGCATATACTTTGGAAATATAGGGCACGGTAGAATTACTGTAACCTTTTTAAATCACCAAGAGAAAAAAAATTTTTTTTTACAATTTTGTTGGCAAAATGAAAATTGTGAAATCACAAAAATTTTAAGCCTTACTCTTTTAGTTTTAAGAAAGTTATACTTAAAACCCTCGTGTCCCATTTTTTCTTGCCGCCACTGTATTAACAGTAGTTCAAGTACGCCCCCGGCTTTAAGTATGCCCTGCCCTAGCCCAGAGCCCTAGCCCAAAGCCCTAGCCCAGAGCCCTAGCCCAGAGCCCTAGCCCAGAGCCCTAGCCCAGAGCCCTAGCCCAGAGCCCTAGCCCAGAGCCCTAGCCCAGAGCCCTAGCCCAGAGCCCTAGCCCAGAGCCCTAGCCCAGAGCCCTAGCCCAGAGCCCTAGCCCAGAGCCCTAGCCCAGAGCCCTAGCCCAGAGCCCTAGCCCAGAGCCCTAGCCCAGAGCCCTAGCCCAGAGCCCTAGCCCAGAGCCCTAGCCCAGAGCCCTAGCCCAGAGCCCTAGCCCAGAAATCCAGTCCTGAAATATGTAAATGTGAATACAATTTCTAATAGAAGGTGTTAATTCCATTCTAAATACACTCTAACAAGCCTGTTCGAAAAACTTCTAGTATATCTAATAAAGCATTCTACAGCGAAAAGCAGACTGTAAAATATAAAAACATCGTTAGTAAGTCAGAAAAACAAAAGTTAGTTTAGTACGTGAGTTTCTGTAAGTAACTTTTGACATATGTCAATGTACAAAATTTTTTTATAAAAAATTGGATCTTTAAGATTAAAAAACAACAATTTTGCATTTTCAGAAACATGATGACTCGGCTATTAAATAACGGAAAGGTGGCATGTGGAGAAAAGGTTATACCCTACCTTACACTATCTTACTTTTTCTACCCTTTCGTATCTTAATAACTCTATCTTACCTTACCCTACCCTAATTCCTTTCATTCGGCCTATCTATACCTTTTCTTTTCATACCTTACCCTTTCCTACTCTTTTCTACCCTATTGACGCTATCTTATCATACCCCACCTTACACTACCATTCTCTTTCCTACCTTTTCCTATCTTACTTCACTTTATTCTACCCTGTCCTAATTACCTTATTATATCTTACCTTGTCCTGCCCATCAATAAAAAATCTTATATTATACTAAGAACAACTACAACGATATCTCAATTTCCGAATCAAACGTTATACAGTACAAACCAAAAGTGTTCATCCAATGCCATCAGCTGAACTATACTACAATATCTTTATCGCCCACTATACAATAATACAACACTACTACAATGTCACCTGTACTTTCAACATACCACGCTTAATAACACCTCATTTTCCTCTTTTTTAAGCTTTATATTAATATACAAGCACACTTGAATAATTTACGCATTCATACAAATTGTCAACTTTGGAATATTATATTATTAACGGTTTGTTAAAGGTATTGTCAAGCAATAACAACTTAATAATTACATGTCATGCACTTGATAATTCAATTTTTAAACGGTTTTGATAGACGAATTACACTTTTAAAGTCAAACTTACTTTAAATTGTTTTTAGTTGACTTAGTGCTAGAAGAAAACAATACCTATGAAATGTTATATATTCATATTTCTGTAGAAAAAATGAAAAATGCTACAAAAGTGCAAGCAGTGAGGTGGACTTTAAGTTCGTCATCGTAGGGTCATTGAACTTTTTGTTTTGGTGCAGGAAGGTTATTAAAACATCAAAGAGATCTAACCCAGCGCTAGCCCAAATCCCTAACTCAAAGCCCTTGCCCAGAGCCCTAATCCAAAACCCTAGCCCAGAGCCCTAGCCCAGAGACCTAGCCCAAAGCCTAGCCAGGGTCCTAGCCCAGAGCCCTACCCCAGAGCCCTAGCCTAGAGCCCTAACTCAGAGCCCTAGCTCAGAGCCCTAGCCCAGAGTCCTAACACAGAGCCCTAGCCTAGAGTCCTAGCCTAAAGTCCTAACTCAAAGCTCTTACTTACAGTCATAACCCAAAGCTTTAGTACTAACCCAAGGCTCTACCTCTAGCCTAAAACTTTGTAACAAACTTTGAACAATTTTTAAAGATATTACGTAAGCCTTTTAGCTTACTTGTTGCTAAAGAATAACTTACTTTTAATCTAGATTAAACGTGGAAAACAATTTCTTATTTTTGTTTATTAAATATAGCACTGCGTTAAAGTTTAAGTAAAGATATTACTTTGCAGAACGTTTTTAAGCGTGATAGCGCTAAATTTCGTGGTGTTAAAAATGGCAGCCGGATCTGTACTAGTTAAAAATAAAAGCAAATTCGTTTACTGTGCTTCAATTTTGTGGTATGTATTGTAAAGAAAAACAACTGTCTAAAAGTTATTTTAATAAAACTAGTCAACAAATAATAAGCAAAACACGAGAAATTTGGAAGATAATATGTATATATACCTTCAAATCGCCAGCCCGGCACCAACTGCGAGTTCTTCTGACAGAACATACTGTAGAAAGGGTAAGACTTGGATTAATCAGGTATTATTTAAGTTGTATTTTAATTATCAAACCTTACGTGCTATAAATATGTTTGTATGCTGTACGATACGAAACAAGTGTATCACTTCCGGATACATAAGCCATAAAAATATTATTACAATGTAAATTTGTATGTTATGTTCCAACCACAGTGTTATGTTCTAACCACAGTACATAACATAAAAATTCAATATTTAATGCCTCAAGGCTCTTATCCGTCTCAATTCAGCTTCGTCAATGTCAACCATGCCTTCGGGAGGTGGTGGCCCACCTCTTCTTTTACCATTAGTCTTTTTCGAAGCTTCACCACTGTTCATATTAGCCTTTTGAGAGCTACGAGAGCTACCTGAGACCCCAATCCAGCCTTCTGTGTTTATACGTTTGGTCGTTGTTTGAGGTAAAAATAGATTTGGAGTTGGACTGGTTGTTTGAATGGGCTCGAATGGATTCATGCCACTGGATTCTGAAGAAGTTTTCAAAAGTTTAATATGTTGAGTAGGGTAGGGTAAGCTAGGGTAGGGTAAGGTAGGGTAGGGTAAGGTAGGGTAGGGTAAAGTAGGGTAGGGTAGGGTAAGGTAGGATAAGGTAGGGTAGGGTAAATTGCTTTTACAATCTGAATTTCAATTTTTTTAAATTTCAATTCTCACCTTCATTGCCGTTTCCAAACCCATCATTCCCACCTCCCCACATGTTAATCAGCGTCGGAAATTGTGGTGATTCAGTAGCCTTTTCAAATTCCTCCACCTTCTCTTCCCTCTCATCTTTGCCTCTGCTCTTTCCCATCTTTTCCAGTCCAGTTAAGCCCAAGTTCTCTTCGACTGGACTAGGTGGAGTAGGCCAGGTTGCTTTTTCGGGTTCTTCACCATCAGTCTCCCATGGTTGACGTTCGTTACCTTTGGCCAATTGGCCACGTCTATTTGGAATGAAGTTGTCTGGTTTTTGAGACTTGGGGGCGGTATTGGTATTCATACCTCCACCCATAAAGGTTTTTAGGAAATTGGCTAGCGGGTCGCTGGGAGGCTTGTTGAACTGGCCTAGTGGGGCTGGGTTTCCGGTCTGAAATGAGGTTTTAAAGTACCATATCTTACCCTACCTTACTCTGTCCTACTTTACCCTACCCTACTCTCTCCAACATGCAGTACCGTAGTGCCTTACTTAACGTGTGGCAAGGTCAATACTACCTGAAATGCCACCTCATAGACATACATTACCGTACTACTTTACCCTTCTTAACCTGATACAACGTACCTTAGCAAACCCTCCTCCTACTACAATATAAATTTTTATAAAGCTCTACTCAGCCAGCGACACTTCCCTAAACTGTGCTCCAGGTGCACAGTTCGCGATCTTCAACATTCCACCAGCTGCATTAGCCGGCAGAACGAACTTCACGCTCTGGAAGGGTCACCACGGCTCGATCATCGTAGAGTCAGGTGGTGAAACCTAGACGTTAGACGAGAGTATGCTTACTACAGAAATGATCCTGTGAAGCATGATCTCGAACAATAAATTCTTTCTCTTTTGGGTAATTAAACGCCCGCTCGCTTTTTGAATGGGTTTGATGAGTGTGCGAGAGAAAAGAGCGCGGAAAAGAAAGAGAGAAAAGAGGCGCTAGGACAAATGCGGTTTTTGGACATTTGCGGATTTTTTAAAGGGGTTTTTTATTTTTTATTTAATTTAGTTGTAGTATGGTAAGTGTAAATTGGTACTGTTTTAATATGTTTTAGTGCTAAATAGTACTAAATTTTAAATTGGTACTGTTTTATATTTTTTGGTACTGAATGGTACTAAAAGCCCAAAAAAGTACTGTTATGTTAAAACCGCACCAATTTAAACTTTAGTACAATTTAGTACCATACTGCAAATAAATTAACTAAAAAATAAAAAAAAACCTTTAAAAAATCCGCAAATGTCCAAAATCCGCAAGTGTCCAGAAACCGAAGATCCGCAAGTGTCTAAAAACCGCATTTGTCCTAGCGCCAGAAAAGAGAGGAGCGCGCGCATTTTTTTTGGAGTTCTTCGCTGATTTTAGGCCATTTTTTGACTGTTTTTTAAACTTTAACGACTGGTAAAAACTAGAACATACATTTTTATATTCGTATTGTCAACTCTATTATAAAATAAATTCCATTAATTTCATTTTTTGATAAGAAAACCTTTGTTTTAGTCAAAAAATGCCCTGTTTTCAAGCTTTTTTAGGTATAAAAAAGTTATAATTTTTAGATTTTAAAATATAACCCCTTGTGGAAGCTAAAGCAAAGATGAAAAGTCCCTTTTTGTTAACTATACGAAGATTATAACTCAATAACTTACATTTAAAAAGCTCCCAAGATTCAATCCTTGGCCTTCTTGAATTCCAAACAAATTTTCTAAACCCAGCCGTTGGCCGCCAAGTGTTAGGCCGTTGTCACCTGAAAATACACTTTTATGGCTGCTATAGGCAGAATTTTTTTTTGTGATAGAGTAAGGCTAGGGTAGGACGAGGGTAGAGTAAGGCTTGGGTAGCGCTAGAGTAGAATTATGAAAATGGTTATAGTATAGACTACGGTAGGGATTGGGTAGATAGGTCCAGATTAGGGCTAAGGCTAGAATCAAAGTTAGAGCTAGAGCTAGGGCTAGAACTAGAGCTAGAGCAGGAACTGGAGTTAGAGCTGGAGCTTAAGCTAGAGCTAGAGCTAATGCTAAAGCTAGGGCAGGTTGGGGCTCTATAAAATGTCAATATCCTTTAAAAGATCAATATTAACCTACCTTTAACACCAAACCGTCCAGGACCAATATTGAGGTTGGTAGCACGATCAGCTCCAAGGCCAAATAAGCTTCCTCCTTGGCCAAAATTCAACAATAAATCACCGGCTGAGCCTTTGCCAAGGCCAAATGAGCCTAGGTTTAGGCCGCCTTGGGCAATAACATGTTGTAGTAGCAGTAAAATGCTCCAGGGTATCTTCTTTGTCAGCATTTCTAAAATTTCAAAAATGACAAAAATTCAAAAAAAAGTTTGAAATTTCACTTTATACCACGAATTATGTACTTATAAAGAAATCAATCCCAGTCAAAATACAAAAAAAAAACAATATGGTATGGTCTGTAAAAGAAGAAAGGGTAACAAAAGCTGTAACTTTGTTTTGATTTTTCATGAAAATCGTCCGAAAAATGACGTTATTCAGAGCGAACGGATGGATAAAAGATCATTAAAAGTGGCTTTTCACTGTTTTATACCTCAAAAAGCGTGTTCAAACACAATTTTTTAGACGTAAAAACTTACCCTGCCTTACAAAATGCACGTTTTACCTTGCTTTAGTCCTAGCCTAAGCCCCTGGCCCTAGCCCAGAGCCTTAGCCCAGAGCCCTAGCCCAGAGCCCTAGCCCAGCGCCCTAGCCCAGAGCTCTAGCTCAAAACCCTAGCCCAAAACCTTAGCTCATAGCCCTAGCCTTACCTCTAGCTCTACTTTAAGATTAATCTAGCCCTACCCTGAGCTCTACTCAATTTTTACCTTAGCCTGCTTCTGCCCTACTATAAGATTATTCTTAACTTACCCTAGCCTATATTCGCCCCTTACACTAGCCCCTACCTTGCCCTATATAGCCCTATTCAAACCACCACTGTTTTACCTATATCGCCTGCTCTACCTCTTACTCTATCCCTATCCATGCTTAATGCAAACCTTACACGAGCACTACCCCTACACAAAAATGTTTACCCTACTCCCTAAATTTCTTCAAAAAACCTTGAAGCGTTTCAAAAATGTAAAAGTAATTTATAAACCCCTAATTACGTTGACTAATCGCCCTATATCCCTCGTTAAAACACGTAAAAAATATGAAAAGCTTGAGTAAAAACCCACCTCGATGATGACTCAAAAACGACGTAAATTCGCGGTTTGGTGACTTCTTTATTCGTTTTTTTTACGAAATGAGGAAAACCGACAAAAAATGGGTTTATTGTCGGAAATCGGAAACAACTACAGGTTTCGCAAACCGGGTAAAGTTATGTCAATATCAAAAAATTATTATTATTATAAAATGACAACGAAAACAACAGATAAAGCTACTCTTAGGATCAGGAGCAGGCTCATGCTTCGGCTTAGGTTTAGGCTTAGGTTGGGCTTAGGCTTAGGTGTAGGCGTAGGCTTAGGCTTAGGCCTAGGCTTAGGCTTAGGCTTAGGCTTAGGCTTAGGCTTAGGCTTAGGCTTAGGCTTAGGCTTAGGCTTAGGCTTAGGCTTAGGCTTAGGCTTAGGCTTAGGCTTAGGCTTAGGCTTAGGCTTAGGCTTAGGCTCAGGCTTAGGTTCAAGCTCAGGCTCAAGCTCAGGCTCAGGTTCCATTTCAGGCTCAGGCTCAAGTTCAGGCTTAGCTTCAAGCTCAGACTCAGGCTCAGAGCAAAGCTCCAGCTAAAGCTTAAGTTTTAGCTTAGACTAAGGTATGGGTTCAGCCTCGAGTTTAAGCCCAATCTCAAGCTTAAGTTTAGGTTTAGACTTTCGGCTTCTGACTTAAACTTAGATTTAGACTTAAAGTTTGAAATTTCAGCTTTTGGCTATAGTCTTGGCCTTTAAACTCAGATTTAAGTTTATAATCAAACTTAGGCTAAAAGTTTAACCTTTGAGTGTTTTTAAAACTTTTCAAAATTTTAATTTTAAAAATGTGTCATTGCGAACGTTTAAATTTTAATCAGCGTTTGAAATTTAGTCACGGGCAATCTTGCTCATCTGTTTTAAAAAAGTGAAACATTTCCAAACTCACTACTATAAAAAGCCACTTTAGACGCTATGCTGGGACAGTCTGTGCATTTCTTGGTGGTTTGGCAAGATGGTTTTGCCAACCATTGTCAAGGCTACTGTTGTAGCAGTATTGATTTGCAGGTAAGTATAAGTTTTTTTATAATTTGTTACTTAAAAAAAATTTAAATTCTAAAAAAATTTAAAAAAATTTTAAAAATTTCAAATTTCAAAAAAATTTTAGCACCCTAGCCCAATACCCACCCCAACCACACCAACCACACCAACCAGACCCCTACCATCCTCCAGATAATTACAATTCATGGCCAAATCCTCAACCCAACTACCCTTCTCAAAACTACCCTCAAGCACCTGAAAGTGACGATGAGTACGTTCCACCACCAAGCGAGTACGATGGTGCTCCACAACATCCTAGAGGCTATAGTACTGTAACGCACGATAGTCATCGTCAAGTTCATGATAGTAGGTATGAAGGTCATGGTGATGGATATGAAGGTCGTGGTGATAGATATGATAATCATGTTAATGGATATGAAGGTCAGCACGGTAATGGAAAGTACGATGATAAGCACAATGATAATGGGTACCTTGGTCCCCGTGATGATGCGATTGAACATAGTCAACGTGAAGGTGCCAACTACCATGACCAACGTGAAGATGGTCGATACAAAGCCAAACATGACAGATACAGCCATGAACAACACCATGGTGGATACGATAGTCACCGTGATCACGGTAGCCACAATGGTCAACATAAGGATAACCAGTATCATCATAAACATCATGATGATAGTTACGATAGTCGTTACGGTAGTAACGATCATGATGACTATGGTAAACACAGTCAAGGTTCAAAACATGAAGGCAGATACGATGACCAGCCTGGTAGATACGATGACAACCCTGATCGATACGATGACAAGCCAAGATACGATGATAGACCAACATATAAACCAGTACCAAAGCCTCAACCGGCTCCATATGTACCAAAACCTGCTCCAGCCTCGGCACCATATGCTCTAGCTCCTCAACCAGCCCCAGCACCATATGCTCCAGCAACTCAACCAGCCCCAGCACCATATTCTCGACCACTTCAACCAGCTCCAGCACCATATGCTCCAGTACCACAACGTGCACCACAACCAGAACCATATTTAACAAAGCCAGCTTCAAGCCCTAGCGGTGGGGGCTATGCTCATCCTCCTAAACCAAGACCAGAACCGTACCCACCAGCTCCTCAGCCGGCTCCAGCACCACAGCCGGCTCCAGTTCCATATGTACCACAGCCGGCTCCACAACCAGCTCCGGGTCCATATGTACCAGCACCTCAGCCAGCTTCATATGCACCAGCTCCAGCCCTTCAACCAGCACCAGCTCCATATGCACCAGCATTAGCCCCTCAGCCAGCCCCAGCATCGTATGCACCAGTCCCAGCTCCATACAAACCAGACCTACAGCCGGCCCCAGCCCCTCATCATCCCCACGCACCTGGTTTCGCCCCACCCCCAAACAGCGGCTCTTCTGAACCGGGATACGACCGTCATCCAAAAGGACATCACAACAAGGGTAAGGATAACATAAAAAACAATGTTGGGCAAAAGTATTCTTACGCTTACATTTATTAGAGCAAGTGGAGCTTAGAGTAGGGCTAAGATAACGCAAAGAGCAAAGCTAAGGTAAAGTTGAAGTAGAATTGTTGTAGAGCTAATAAGGTGCCGCTAAGATAAAGCTGGAAGGCTGTCTTATATCCCTAGAGGTATGGCTAACAATATGGCTATGACTATGGTTACAACTAGAGCTTAGCCTAAACGTATGGCTATAAATAGAGCTTAATCTAAAGCTATAGCAAAGACAAGGGCACAAATTTAAGCTAGAGCTCAACTTGAGGCTGGGACTAGGGCCAGGGCCGGGCGGGGACTTTTGGTCTGGGGGCAGGGGTCCAAAAACCTGTGCCGATTTTTTGCGAAAATTTTTTTCCAAAAATCCACAGGGGGGACCACGTTCAAATTTTTTCAAAAATTTTTTTCGCGCCCGGCCCTGACTAGGGCTAAGGCTAAAACTAAGGGTATAGCTGAAGCTAAGGCTAAAAATAAGGATAAGGCCAAAGCCATAACTAGAGCTGATTTGTGATATAGCTAGGGTTATGATAGACTTAAGGTTTAGTCAATATAAGCCATAGGCAAAGTAAAGATAGATAAAGCAAGAATAAGGCTAGAGTAAGGCTAGGCTACCGCCTTTCAAATAATACTCAAAATTAAAAAAAAAATTGTAGACCACCACCATCCTAAGCACTACGACGACAAAGATTGGGAAAGTTTTGATGACCGAACCTAAAGTTAAGACAGCTCCACAATATAATAACTTAATTAACACTAATCTTTACAGTAAACACTTTCTTATTTCTTAATAAAATTGTATATTGCAGTAACCTTGAATACAGTAATCAATCTTGTTTCTTCTTTCTATTTCTGAGACTGCTACTACCACCCGAAGATCCTGTTTTCGAATTGTTAATGGTATCAATGATCGAATCGTATTGAGTTTGCTCGAGCTTGTAGATCTTGAACTGCTAAAAATTTTAAAATAAAAAAAAATTATATCATACCCTACCCAGCCTATTGTATTTACCCTACCCTACTTTACCTAACATACCCTACCCTACCCTAATCTACCTTACCCTACTCAACACTACCTTACCGTGCATTTTCCTGTCCTGATCCACCCTACCGTACCCTACTTTACCCTATGCTACCCTACTGTATCCCACCTTACCCAACTTTACATTATCCCGCTATGCCTTGTTTTGCCCCACCCTACCCACTATTCCCAAAATAAACTACAGTAAACCCACAGTAGAACCAGAGCTTTTGCTGCTTTTCGACTTTGACTTCTTTGGCTTGGTCCTTTCTTTCTTCGGCCCGTTCCGATGTCTAGGCCTCATGTTTAGGCTTAATGTTTCTTCGTTCAAAATCTCCTTGACAAATGACATCTTTTCACGTGGTTTTTCTTGTACTGGCAGCCGTTGAACTTTATTTTTGGGCTTTTTTGGCTCTCTAAAAATAAGCATAGTGTTAATTAGCAGTGATGTAAATTAAAAATTTGAATTTTAAAAATCCCGCCAAATTTAAATTTTCTTGGCATTCTGTTGCAACACGTGAAAAGTCATTTTTGTTTTAAATGTTAGCTTGTCTAAGCCTAAGGGTACCATTTTTTGCTCTGAAAACAGGTTTTTGATTATTTTATTTTGAATTTTAAAAATCCCGCCAAATTTGACATTTTTTGGCATTCTGTTTCAACTGTTTTAAAATTAACTTTTTGGGCATGTAATCACAAATATTACTCTAAAATCCACAAAAAAGTCATATTTACTCCAAGAACTGTCCCAAAAGCCCCATAATACCCTACTTACTTCAACTGTTTGACATACTGTAGGTACTCAAAGTAGACCTCGCCAGGATAGGGTATGCCAACCTTGTTCAAATCCAAATCACGATTCTTTTTGATTTCGATCAGTTCCTCAATCTGATTGTCATGTGGCTTTATCTCAGCGACACGTTCGATCAAATAATGTCGGCTTTTGATCGGAGTATGAGCTACTTTCATGGTCAAGTAGATGAATATGGGTGTTGTTATCAATATTAATACATGCCATATGATTCCTAGGATGAAGAAGATGCTGAAAATACAATACTTATTTATTTTTCATCATAGTCTAATAATTTTTGGCACTTTTTAAGCAAAATTTAGCTCTGCAGCCTGCGCAAATCATGTTATACGATAAAACGTGATATTAAAAACAAAAAAATTTTTAAAAATTAAAAATGAAATGAATGAATTGGATCAACAATGTTGCATTGAACACTTTTTTATTTTCATTTAGACCATTTTTGCTTTCTAACAGTTACGCAGCCTGCGAAGCTCATGTTATACGATGAAAAGTATTTTAATAAATTTTTTTATATAAATAGAAAAAATGTGAAAAACGTAGAAAGAAGGGTATATTAAACACTACTTTATTTTCATTTACCCAATTATTCCTCTTTTAACGGTTCCGCAGCCTGCGAAAGTCATGTTATACGATGAAACATGTACCAACATAAAAATTCAAAATGGTGCAACATGTACCTTTTACAGTAAAATACGACAACAAAGGTACGTTTTCCTCTACGAAAAACCGAAACAAAAACTCACAATAAGATATTGTTGGTAGGTTTGATTTCTCCCATGAATGCCTTTAGGTCACCATTATCAGGCTTATCAGTTAAATCATCAGAATAGCCTTTCGATCTGGAATTCGTAGCATTCTGTTCCTTCTGAGTTCTGTAGAATCCACCAAATACGTAATCAGTTGTCCAGTTTTTGAGATTCGAATTGCGATTTCGACTACCGTATCTCCAGTGAATTTCGTAGGGCGAGCCGGTTGGACTGATATGATAGCGGCCTTGGTGATCGGACTGAAGTTTGTAAAGAAAGTTCTTGCCATTTTTCATTTTGGAAAGAAAGTTTTTGTCATTTAAAGGCAAGTAAAGAAAGTCCTTGCCATTTTTTGTTTTGTAAAGAAAGTTCTTGCCATTTTTTGTTTTGTAAATAAACTTCTTGCCATTGTTAGCTCTGTAAACAAAGTTCTTGCCATTTTAAGTGCTGTAAAGAAAGTTCTTTCCAAAAAACCTACCCTAAAGATGTTCATAGTGAAAACCCCCCTCTTGAACATCTGAGGATCGTCTCTATGATTCCTGTACTTGAAGTACATATGACCAAAGTCAGAAATCGACTCGGAGCCATTGGGACTGGAGATAAAACGACCAGGGCCTGGGTGGAACCATTGAATATTCCTCATTTGTTTCAGGCCTCGACGTTCGACTAGGACAGTTGGGTCTGGAAGTGGCAAAATTAGTAAAATCTTTTATATGAGGCTAAGGTAGGAAGGGCAGGATAAAATAAGCTAACGTAGAGTAAAGTAGGGTGACCAGGTTAGAAATATGATAATTAGTATAAAGTTAATTGACGGTAAGAATAGAGCTAGAGGCAGAAGTACGGGGTAAAGGTAAATTGAAGTAGGGGTGACAGCAAACGCGTAACAAACTTACAATCCTCCACATTTTGACCATTGACACATCGAGATACTATAAAAACTTGAGTAAAAATCAAAATCCACACCAAATTCATCGTAAAAAAGTATAAAATGACGTTAAAATCACTTAAAAATTCAATTTTTCAATCAATTTTACCAAAAATAAATCGACAGAAACCTTTAATTTTTTAAACTTTATTTAACAGACAACAATAACACGTAAAATATTATAGTAGAGGACAAGAAGTACTATATTATAATAGAGAATGACCGGTACAATATTATAGTAGAGAACAACAGACACAATATGATAGTAGAGAATAACAAGTACAATATTATAATAGAAAACTTAGAGCCAAATAACAAATAAAAACTATTAAAGCAAGAACAATATAACAAGAAATGAGTTGACAGGAGCTAACAAAACTACAGTATTTTTTCGTTTTTCGATAAAAAAGACTACTGTAACTTCGATATTATTCAGAAATATTGTAGTAGAATATACCTTTTGGGCAGATAGATCGCTAGGAAGGAAGAAAGAGAGTGAGAGAGAGAGAGAGAGAGAAAGAGAGAGAGAGAGAGAGAGAAAGAGAGAGAGAGAGAGAAAGAAGAACAATAAAAGTAGAACAGCGGGAATAGAAGGGTGGTGGTCCAAAACATAAACGTCGATCAAAATCACGTTTCTGTATACTTAACCTCAACGAGATATGCCAGTCGAATTTGATTCGCCTCTCTCACAACAATATCATCGTACAATGGGCGTTCCGTATCTGCCTTGGCGTTAAAAATTTCGTCCAGTTTGAATGGTCCCAATGGCCACTTCACATTTCCTCGATGGACACTAAAATGATATTTAATTTTTTTCCAAAAATTCATGATTGTAAAGAAAGTTCTCGCCATTTTTTGCTTTGTAAAGAAAGTTCTTGCAACTTTTTGTTTTGTAAAAAAAGTTCTTGCCATTTTTTGTGTTGTGAAGACTGTTCTTGCAATTTTTTATTTTGTAAAAAAAGTTCTTGCCATTTTTTAGCCAAAAAAACATTTTCTTCTACCCACCCAAAAATTATTAACACCCTCTGCACCACAAAAAAATTTACACCGCCCAAAATTTTTTTTCAAAACTTTACTATTCATTCGTCATACAGAAAACATTCCCAATCCACACACCCTAATTTTTTTACCCCGCCCACACCCTAAGAAAATATTTTTACCACGCCCACTTCAAAATAAAATTTTTCACACCGCCCATCACTTAAAATTACTTTTTTTACCACGTCCATCCTTAAGAAATTCTTACCCCTCCCACATCATTAAATTTTTTACCTCGCCCGTACCCTAAGAAAATATTTTTACCTCGCCCACTTCAAAATTCAATTTTTCACACCGCCCATTACCTAAAATTCTTTTTTTTACTTTGACGATGCCGTAAGAAATGTTTACCCTGTCCATATCATTTACTTTTTTTTATTCCGCCCCCCACCCTAAAAATATTTTTACCACGCCCAAAATACTTTTTTTATAATCTTTACCCCTGCACGTTAGCAAGTCTCGAATTGTTGTTTCGCCTACCCCTAAAATTTTTGTTATGCCCCCCCCTCTCCCCCTGCCAAGCCCTGAAATTTCAAAATTTGATTTTTGGCTCCTCTCCCCCTCATGCCCTCCAACCAGCCCCTACCAAACCTTGAAAAACCCCTAAAGCTCACTTCAAACATCTCTGAGTCTTGAAGATGCCTTGACAAACAGCCGAATCGAAGCGTCTGTAGAGCTTTTCCAATGAGACTTCGTCTTTGATGAACTCGGTGCTCTTGCAGCACCTGCCCAGTGCGACATGACAAAAGAAGATGTAACCAATTTGACTGTCTGCTGGAATCAGCTCACCGTTATCGACCGCTGGCATTCTTTCGTAGCCTTTTTTGATCAGTGACAAATTGACCGCTTTTTGACTGTTGGTTTGGAAGTAGTAGCCCGGGCCTACGGTGAGGTTGTCCTAAATTTTTTTTTATTTTTGTAATGAAAGTTCTTGTCATTTTTCATGTTTTAAAGAAAGTTCTTGCCGTTTTTTGTTTTGCAAAGAAAGTTATTGCCATTTTCATATTGTACAAAAATTTTTTGCCATTTTTCGATTTTTAAATAAAGTTCTTGCCATTTTTTGTTTTGTAAAGGAAGTTCTTGCCATTTTTTGTTTTGTAAAGAAAATTCTTGCCATTTCTTATTCTTTAAATAAAGTTTCTGCCATTTTTCGGTTTGTAAAGAAAGTTCTTGCCATTTTTTGTTTTGTAAAGAAAGTTATTGCCATTTCCATATTGTGCAAAAAGTTTTCGCCATTTTTCGATTTTCAAAGAAAGTTCTTGCCATTTTTTTATTTGTAAACAAAGTTCTTGCAGTAAAAACCCACCGCCGTACAGTAAGCAGATTCCTTATTGTAGAAACCGTTCTTGAGAATATCCAACACCTTCTTTTTCGATGCGCCTTGCATCAAAAAGTGCCTAAAACAATATAAATATATTATCTAAACACAGATCTTAAAGAATACCCGCTAGGGCAAGCCAAGCCAAAACAAGTTTAAAAAAGACCGTGCCGAATCGTTCGCGTCCAAAGGCCAGAACCAAAGCAAGGCCCCAGGAGCCCAGCTTAGGTCCCGCAACGAAAGATTTCAGTTGCGAAAAGTGGAAAAGGAATCTCAGTTTAAAGATATGAGAAACCGGGCAGAAATGTTATCTAAATTCAAAAATTTCAAAAAAAAATGTTCTTACAAGTTCCCAATTTCGTGACGAAAACGGCGGTCGCCTGGATAATCGACCGTCCAGATGTTTTCGACCTTCAATTGGACGTCCGGGTACAGTTCACCACGATTCTCTTCTAAATAATGTGAAATGAGCTGAAATCAAGGTATAAAAGTTTTTAGGCCTATAATTTCATTTTTTATTCTAAAAGTCAATATTTAAGCCTAAATTTCAATTCTTAAGCCTAAAATGACATTTCTAACGCACTTTCATTTTTTAGCCTAACTTTTCATTTGTAGCCTATAATTTCATTTTTTAGTCTAAAGGTCAATCTTTAAGCCTAAATTTTGATCTTAAGCCTAAAATTCCATTTTAAGCCTAAAATTCCATTTTTAAGCCAATCATTTCATTTTTAAGCCTAAAATGTTGTTTTTAGGCCTAAAGTTCCATTTTAAGCCCAAAATTCGATTTTTATACCTAAAATTCTATACTTATCCCTAAACCCATAATTTTAAGCCCAAAACCTACTTTCATACACAACGGATCATTGTGCCACTTCAAAAACGTTCTAAACGTGACAGTCTTGTCGACACTCAATCGTTTGAACAGCGCCTTGATCGACTTTAAATCGTTCGGCTTCCAATCTTTGTTGACCTTCGACACGATTCTTTCTTTGAATTCAGCCCGAACCTCATCTTCTATCTTTTGCGCCACCTTTTTTGGACTAAAACAAAAGAAATGTTATCTAAAGTATGAAATTATGTCTATATTTTAAAAAATTGTTTTGGAGTTCAAAATGTTACCTAAAATGTTAGAATGTTATCTAAAATTCTCCAATCGAGGCTAAGAATCAGAAATAATACTTAAAATCTCAGAGAATCCTTTAAAAAATACCTAAAACATTAGAATGTTACCTAAAACTATAAAAACTTCAAAATTCTTAAAAATTTTCATTATACCTTTTATACTCAAAATCAGCCCGTATCTTCATTCTCTATCAAATTCCATACCTAAAAACGCAAAAAATAATAAACAAAAGTCTTACTCATTGTCCTCATCACTGTTATTGAACTTGACTGATAATTTAATGGGCTCATCCTTGACTTTTAGCTTCTCCATTGGTTCAGATAATGCATTATCACTTTCAGCTGCAGAACTCAAATTGTGACGCTTATCATCAACATGTTCAATTGAGCTCATTATAAAGGAGCTATCTCTCGATGAGCCACTACTATTTCTCGATGTGTCGAGCCTGGTTCTTGGTGATCCATCATCTAAAACAATATAATAAGAGTTTTTGTTAACTAAAATCCATTTTTTAGGTTAAAGCTTAAGTTTTAAGTCTAATTTTAACTGTTCAGAGCTATAATAATATATATTATGGTTTGTTACCTAATCTTGTATCTAAATATTCATTTTAAAAATTTTGTTAACTAAAAAATTTTTTTTGAAAAACGACTCAAAAACTAAATAAAATCAACCACAATCTATCAAAAAACCTGTAAAACAGCTAACAGATCATTTATCGACTAATAAACCTTATTTTACCATCCCTAAAACATAATTAAACTTACTTCGCTTTTGGAAAGCTTCCTTTTGGCTCCGCAATGGTGTAGATGTCTTCATGATAATAAACTAACAAAATACTAACTATTCTAAACGTTTATCAACTAGTTATAGTCTCAATAATATAAAAATGTCAAAGATGTTGCTACAACAAACGGGACGCCAAAGAATTATCGTCTATATGCTTTTCGTGTTGGGACCAAATTGAACATACTGTGTCGAGAGAAGAAATTAATTCCGGTCGATAAAACTTCTTTTCCGACCAAACATGCTTCAAATTATGAAACACTTATTCTTTACAACTACTTTTACTGAAACTAGTCGGTTTCAAATGAAATCCATTCTTTTACTTTTAGTTTGCACTTGGTATGTACGAGCTTCATGGTTTCTGGGATGCAGGGACTTTCAACTGGTCGATTATGTAAAGCCAAAGGAAATTTCGGCTACTATTATGATGTTCAAAGACGATGCGAAAGATGTGAGTTTATAAATTTGAGTTTTTATTTGAAAAAACAAAGTTTTATGAATGGAATATTAAGGAAAGTTAAAAAATGGGTAACAAGAATGTTTTTCAATGTAACTTTTTTGAAAATGTAGCTAGTGGCTTGATATTTTGAGCGATTGTAGATCAATCATTTTCACAACTAATGTTTTAACTGAAATTCAGAAATTCGCAGAGTTTTTGAAGTTACAGTAATTTAACCGTACAGTACTTTTTACAAAATTTCAAAAATTTTTTAATTTAAAATGTTGATTATAAGGTTTGTAGGACATATAATAGAATTGTATATATTTGTTAGTTTTGGGAATAGTACCTTGATTTACGGCCGTGCATATATTTGAAAATGACGAAAAATCACGAAAGTTCGAATCCGCTTGGAAGCAGCGGAGTAAAGTGGGTATATCTTTCAAAGTCTTTCGGATTTTAAAATTTTATTTATCGTGTTTGTTGAGTAATTTCATTACCTAAATTTGTACAAAGTTTCAGTTTCTTAGCTATGTTGTGAAGAAAGTTATGATTATATTTGTCTAGAGCACTACGATAATATCCCTCTTTTGACGGGGTTTTTGCTAATTTTATGTGAAAAACCCAACAAGAGGGCTGAAATACAATTTTAAATCAAAGATACGATACATTGTTTTAGTATAATTATATTTTTACATTTTAGGACCCCTTGCACGACTGGTTATTTACAGAAATTGCTTGTCGATACCTGAAAATGGAGACTAACAAGATGGTGGGGATGGATGTTGTACTGTTTGATGACCAATTTATGTGGTTCTTTATGTCGAATAGAAGCGATGTTTCTTACCGACGTTATGATACGTTACCGCAAAATAATGAATCTATGTTTTTGAATGAGTGTAAGTTAATATTACTTTGAATTTTATTTTTTAGGTATAAAATTATTTTTAAAAGCTTTTTATGGATTGTAGAATACGGAACTGATTTACCAAGTGTTCTGTTTTAGCTTTAGAATCTTTTTCTGGCCTAAATATTACTATAGAACACAATGCCAAATATGGCGGGAATTTTGAATTTTAAAAGTTTTTTTTGTTAAGCAGGAAGATAATTAATTTAGAGTAAAATACGAACTTTCTAGTTTGTATCTGCCAAATAAGATTGCTTTATATCTAAAAATGACACAGAAACAGAATGCCAAAAACGGCGGAAAAACGGAAATTTGAATTTTATATCTAAAACTTTTAGCTTTAACGAATGAACTAAATTTGCCTTGTCAAAAACTAGTCTGGAAGATCATGAAGATATCATTTTTCATGGATTTGACCAACGATACACTTAAAAATGTCATTTATATTGATGATTTTGGCCACGAAGACTATTGTTCTCCTGATGAACTTGTGAATGTAAGTCTTTGTTATGACGTTGTTACAGTAAGAATTGTTAGGCCAACTTGAAACGTGATGTTTTTCCAAGCTTTACAATGATATATTTTGGTATATCTTTCAGGAATTTCTTCGAATCCAAGGCAAAGTTCAGGGTTATCAACCATTGTTTGGTATGGTACTACATCAAGTTGGGAATAGTAACTATAGTGCCATTCCGAATGGGACTGAAGACGTGAATACTTTGGGGCAATGCCCAGAAGAGTACAATGTGACAGAGTGCGTGTTTTTGGGAATTTTACCTGGATATATTTTTGGTTTTGACACTGGAAATGGTAAGTTTTTTTTCTACCCTCTACTCCCTACTCATACCCCTCACATCTACAACTACTTCTACTTCTATCTCTTCTTTACCACTCCCTTCATCCTGACCTTAATCTCGGTCTCTACCATACAATTTCAAAAATTTGCATTCCGCCTACCTACTATTGATTTTTTAGTTTTTTTGTTTACTGTTTTCTTCGCGTAGCTTTAGGCTTGCCTCACATGCCCTAAAGAGAAGAAGTAAATTTTAAAAATTTTAGCGACAACCACAGTTGATAAGATGATGCCAAAAATTTCTGAACTAAATGATGGAATTGAATGGCTGCTCAGAAGCCTTGCCAATCGTATGACACAAGTTACACATGAATATGTGAAACGATCGAGTGATGTACATGTTTATTCGTTTCTGTAGGTGCAGTTTTAAACGTTTCTATGTATTTATAAGCCGAAACTTACATTTTTAAGTCTAAACGTGTATTTTTAAGCGTAAACGTCATTTTTAAGCTTAAAATTTTATTTTAAGCCTAAAAGTCATTTTTATGCTTAAAATATTATTTTTAAGCATAAAAGTCGTTTTTAAGCTTAAACTATTATTTTCAAGCCTAAAATATTATTTTAAGCCTAAAAGTCATTTTTAAGCCTAAAATCTTATTCTTAAGGTTAAAATATTATTTTCATGCCTAAACTATTATTTTTAAGCCTAAAATTTTATTTTAAGCCTAACGTCATTTTTAATCCTAGCTTTAATTATGTTTTCAGGTATAATGTTCTATATTATTTGGCATTTGTCATGGGTTTGATGTTCCTTATCGTATTTTGGTGCTTTACGAGCATTTTCGCTACTATAGCTGGTGCACTGTTCAATAATTATTTCATTGAATGTAAGTTTTTATTTATATTAGGGTAGGGTAACTGTTGGTTAGGGTAGTGTGAGAGCAGTGTAGGATAGAGCAGGTTACTGTAGGTATGATAAGGTAGGATACTGCAGGACAGGGTAAGGTATGGTAGGGTAAAGTGGAGGGGAAGTAGGGCATGGTAGGGTAGGGCACGGTGGGATAGAGAAGGGTATGGTCGTTCATGACAAGTTAGGATACTGTAGGACAGGGTAAGGTGATAATGTAGTGGGAGGGTCGGGTAGGATAAATCGTAAAAACAGGTAATTGTCATCATTTATAGTCCTGATGGACGCCAGATCAAACGAAGAAAGGCGAGACTATCGCAGAGCGATCGCTCAACAGGCGCAAGTAGTTCAACAACAGAATGCTCCAGTACAACTACAAGGTCAGGCACAACAAAACGATCAAGTAAAACATGGTCAAGTACAACAAAATGGTCAAACACAACAGAATGATCAAGTACAACAACATCAAAACCAACAAAGAAATGAATCACAACAAACACAAGGCCCACAAGCGGTAGTAGTAATGGGACAAGGAGTTGTAGAACAAGTAGAAAGTAACCAAGTAAACCATCAAGTGCAAGAAGAATCAGTTAAAGAGGATGAACAAGTAAAACAAGAACAACAAAGAGATCCAGCTCAAGACATGAAGATACAACAAGATCAACAGGTGCAAGAACAAGAAGAACAAAGGAAAGAACAACAAGAAGTGAAAGGACAAGAGGTAAAAGCGCAAGAACAAGTTGTAAAAGGACAAGAACATCAAGTAGAACAGAAGAAACATGAATCGAAAACAGAATAAAGGTTTAAACAATTAGGGGGTGTTTTTTTACTTTTTGGCAAGCTTTTTATTTTTTTTGGCAAAAACTTTCTTTACAAACTAAAAAATGGCAAGAACCTTCTTTGCAAAACAAAAATGGCAAAAACTTTTTTTTACAAAACGAAAAAATGGCAAGAACTTTCTTTATAGAATAAAAAACGGCAAGAACTTTCTTTATAAAACAAAAAATGGCAAAAACTTTCTTTACAAAACAAAAAATGGAAAGAACTTTCTTTACAATCTTGATTTTTTGCTTTTTTAATTAAGTATGTCACATTTGTCACAATTATTAACAATTAACCTGTTAAAAAGCCGCTTGATCTGAACGTTTTAACACAGTTTTCTCAAGAGTTTTCAACTTTTTCGTCTTTTAATGGTTCCGTTTTCTGACTGACAATGAAGAGCAGGGTAAAAGTTTATTTTGTTTGAAATTTTGTTACAATTTCAAAATTTAAAAAGATTTTTAAGTTTGTAAAGAAATTTCTTGCTATATTTTGTATTGTAAAGAAAGTTCTTGCCATTTTTTGTTTTGTAAAGAAAGTTCTTGCCATTTTTTGTTTTGTAAAGAAAGTTCTTGCCATTTTTTGTTTTGTAAAGAAAGTTCTTGCCATTATTTGTTTTGTCAGAAAAGTTCTTGCTATTTTTTGTAACGAAAGTTCTTGACAGTAGAATTGCTCTATTGTGATGCCCTGTAATGGAATAGTGTTAGGTCATGCTCCACAAACCTTGAACTGGTGTTTGTCGACGCTTCTAATCAGGGATTGGCCTCATTTTCATTTTCGTTCAAATTTGTTTCTCTTGTACTATTACTGACAAAACATCACATACCTCATGGCATGGGAAACTGGTTTTTTTCTTTTAGAGTAGGGTAGGATGGGGTAGGAGTTTTAAGGTTTGTGTTAGGAGTGGTTGGGTGGGGTGATTTTTTTCGCTGGGGGAAGGGAAGAGGCGGCGGGGTGGGAGGAATGAAAAAAAATTTTTTGGAGGAATTCGCTTTATGATCTGATAGTGGGGAGGAAGGGGATGGTGATTTTTGGGAAGGGGAGGAGTCGACTAAAAAATTTTTTTTGAAAGTTTTTTTGGGCATTTCAGACACGGATAGCTTTTTTTAAAAAGTTTTTTAGGAGTGGAGTTTTTTTCTCTTTTTATTCTGCTCCACTATTTACCACACCTACAATTTTTTAGTATTCTTATTCGCTGAACTTGTTGAATCTTTCGTGATAGTCCGACTAGTATAATATATTTACCCTTCCCCCCCCCCTTTTTTTCTGAACATTCAAGTATGATGAATACAAATCAATTATGGTTTTGTTTTACCGCGTGAATTGGAATAATAATTGCGCGATCTGGCCATATATATTATATTATGGGACATGTAAGTGCACTTTTGTAACAAAATGTCGCCGCTCTAATAGGGAGGGGGGGGGGTGGTTTGTAGTTTGGCCGCCGACATAGCCGCACTTTAAATGGCAATTGCGCAACTTAAGTACCATGCTCTAAGCTGTTACTTTGTTCTGCCTTGCCCTGCCCTAAGCTCTTACTATGTCTTGTTTTGTCTTGCTTAGTCCTGGCTAAGCCATGCTTTGGTCTTAGTTTTATTGAGTCTTACCCTACTTCGACTTGACTTGCCTTACCGTATTCCTGCCTTGTTTTGCCATGCCTTGCTCAGATCTTCCTAAGCTTGAGCCCTGCTTTACCCTTAGCCTACCAGTGGTCTATCCTGAACTTTTGCGATTCAACACTACCGTGCTTTATGACTTACCGTACCCTAGCCCACTCCTACAAACGCCTACCCTACCCCCACCCATCAATCATTCTCTCCTCCTCCCCCCCCTCCCTTCTCTCTACCTCATAATCTACCCTGACTTGATTAGCCTAATCCCTCCGTCACCTTGCGATGACCTCATTGTCATTTCCACTTATCTAATTTCAAAGCGACATCGCCTAATCTGTGACTGACCCCTTCGTGACCTTTAATTCCCTTTTTTTCAGCGCGTGTCTCGACTCCGACCAAAAAAGGCAGTGCAACAGTTTTTGAACCTATTATGATTTTTTTTTCATTTTTTTGGGGTAGAAGATATGCGGGGGGGGGTAATTTTTAAAAGTTTTTAACTTTCCGGTATGTTAATCAATAGCAAGTGGGGGTTTGATTTTGGGTGTGATAATCAATGACAGGTGGGTTAAAATTGAAATTTAGGGACGGGAGGGGTGTTTTTTTTGAATTTTTAGGTAGGAATTTCAGGCCACGGTAAGGTATGGTAAAATAACGTAGAGTAGAGTAAAGAACGGTAGGGTGGTATACTGCAATTGAGCATACGGTAGTATAGGATGACATAACCTGCGATATTACCTAATTTTTCGATATGTTATACCATATATCATAAAGATAGCCTTAGAGAAATTGTAAGAAATGGTGTTACGCAACTTTTTCTTATGTAATATTATTTATTTTTGTCATATTTGCCTCGTTGTAAAACGACCCAACAAATTACTGCGAGCAGGGCCGGGCGGGGACTTTTGGTCTGGGGGCGGGGGTCCAAAAAATCCCTCGCGCCCGGAGAAGGGCTTTGTCATTTGGCTAGGCAAGACATGAAAGCTATTAAATTTGCCTAGCCAGGTCAAAAAGATCGTAGTTTTTAGCTAGGCAACCTAAAAGGGCCACGTAGTTTGGCTGACTATGGCAACAAATGATATAATTTGGCTTGGCATGGCAAAAAATATGAAAGTTGGATAGGCAGGGCAAAAAAATTATAAAAATTGGCTAGCTAGGTCAAAAAGATGACATAATTTGGCTAGTCAGGTAAAACAGGTATATTTAGCAATTGATGTAGCCAGATAAAAAATTATGGATTTTGTCTAGCTAGGTCAAAAAATCACATAATTTGGCTAGCCAGGTCATAAAGATCATAGAAATCGGCTAGCCATATAAAAAAGTATAGAAATTGGCTGGCTAGGTTAGAAATGACATAATTTGGGCTAGCCAGGTCAAAAAGGTGACATAATTTAGCTAGTCAGGTCAAAATGATGACATAATTTGGCTAGTCATCTAAAAAATATTAGACTTTGTCTAGCTGGGTCAAAAAGCTTTTAGAATTTGGCTAGCCAGATGAAAAAGAGCATAGTTTTTGGCTAGGCAGTCTAAAAAGGTCACATAGTTTGGCTGACTATGGCAAAAAATTACTTAATTTGGCTAGCCAGATAAAAAAATCACAACAATTGTCTAGAATGCGCAACCAGTTGGGGGTAGACTCTAAAAAATGCCGTAAAATCGGGAAAATATGCAAATTTTGGCGAGACAAAAAAAAATATGATGAGAGGACCCCGAAGAGACTGTGGGATCAATAGAGAGTGGCCAGACATTTTTTTAGGGCTGACCTTTCACCCGGTCTAAAGGTCACAACACTTTCTGGATCGGCGACTGTTGCGCTTTCGCTGACCTCATTCTCTTCTGTTTTTGAATGACCGATGCTGCCAGGGTCAGGGTGCGGTAAAAAATTGGTTGGCAATTTTTTTTGGTTTTCAGTTTTGGCTACGAGCTGCTTTGTTAGGCTGGGGTGTTTTTTTTTGCTCACGGGAGAGGGGGGGGGGTGGGGGTAAAAAAAATAGGGAGTTACGGTAAGGGCTAGAACTAGGGCTCTTTTTGGTTTACAGTTATAGGTCTAGGGCAAGAACTAGGGGGTGGTAAATTTTTTTATTTTTTTTACATAGGGGGTGGTAAACTTTTTTATTTTCCTTACATAGGGGGTGGTAAACTTTTTTATGTTCCTTACATAGAGGGTGGTAAACTTTTTTATTTTCCTTACATAGGGGGTGTAAATTTTTTTATCACATAAAAAGTTTGTTTTTACAGAGGAAGGGGCCAATTAAGTTGGGCATGGGCGCTTCCAGGGCCGGGCAGCCACTTTTAGTCTGTGAGCGGGGCTTGAAAAAAATTAAATTCACAGGGGGGGACCAAGTTCAACTTATCTGAAAAATTTTTTTACACTTTTCCTCCCTCCCCCCCCAAAACCCCCCCCTTCCCCCCCCTCGCGCCCCGCCCTGGATGGTTTTGATTTTTTTGGTTTACTGTACACCGGCTCGTTTAGGATAACGGTTTACTGTACACCGGCTCGTTAGGATAATTAGTCTAGACTGAAGAGGGTTGGGTGGTTGGTTACCTGCTGTGCGGGCTGAGGATGGGTATCGTGGAGGACGATGGAAGGTCGGAGGGGACGTGTCGGGCAGTGGGCGGGGGAGAGAGGACGAGAGGAGGGGGAGGAATGGGAGTTGGGGGTTGAGTAGGATGAGTAGTATAAAAGTTGGGGCTTTAGGATTTTTTACAATAGTTTGGTGGTAGTGGCACTGGGAAACGGTTGAGTCCTTGGCAACCACAGTGTTTTTTAAAGGCATGGTTGATTTTTTGGGTTCTTTATGGGCAGGGTATGTTTTAAATGTAGAGTAAAGTGGGGTAGGTTGGGGCAGGGTATGTATGGTGTCGTCTTGTTACGGTATGGCATGAATAACTGCGTATTTTTAGATGTATTGCGCCGTAGTGCTAGGGCTAGGTGTAGGGGTAAGGGTAGGGATATGATTATTGAGGTTGGGTAGGGTGGAGTAAAGTGTTGTAGAATAAAGTAGGGTGGGTTGGGTTGAGCAGGGTTGGGTAGGGTAGGGTAGGGTAGGGTAGGGTAGGGTAGGGTAGGGTAGGGTAGGGTAGGGTAGGGTAGGGTAGGGTAGGGTAGGGTAGGGTAGGGTAGGGTAGGGTAGGGTAGGGTAGGGTAGGGTAGGGTAGGGTAGGGTAGGGTAGGGTAGGGTAGAGTAGGGTAGGGTAGAATAGGGTCGCGTAGGGTATTGTCGAGTAGGGTAGGCTGGAGTAGGCTGGGTAAGATAGGGTAGGGTATTAGTCTAGGTTTGCGCAAGTCGAGATTACAACCTCGTTCTTCTGGCAACAGTTGTGCTAGTCCAAATATTATAATATTAGACATCTGTTGTACGGCGGCGTTTCTTTTTTGAATTATCGGTTTTGACATATCGCAACTGGGTTGTTTTACACTTTTTTTATTTTTTATGGTAGGGTAATTTGTATTTTTTTTTGTTTAGGGAAGGGTAGTTGTATTTACTATTTTTTGATTGTGGGGGGTAATTTTTAATTTTTTTTAATTTAAGGGGTGTTTATGAATTTTTTGAGTAACTGTAATAAAAATGACAAGAACTTTCTTTACAAAACGTAAAATGGCAAGAACTTTCTTTACAAAACAAAAAATGGCAAAAACTTTCTTTACAAAGCAAGAAACGGCAAGAATTTTCTTTCCAGACCAAAAATGACAAAAACTTTCTTTCTAAAGTAAAAAATTGCAAGAACTTTCTTTACAAAACAAAAAATGGTAAAAACTGACTTTAAAAAACAAAAAAAAAATGGTAATAACTTTGTTTACAGAACAATCAATGGCAAGAACTTTCTTTACAAAACAAAAATTTTTAAAAAATGACAATTTTAAAAATTTTTTAAAATTTTTTGAAATTTTGAAAAGTTTTAAAATTCATATTAACTTTGTAATTCTTGTACCCTACTGACCTACCTAACCCAACATGACCCACAATGACAAAGCTTTTGCGAATGAATCTTCAGAATCCGCGCTAACTTTTATATTATTCATCGTGAAACATGCAACACTGACTTTCCCTTTCGAATGTTTTTTTTTCGTCTTGCGCGATCACTTTTTTAATGGATTGACCCAGAAAACACGGGGAGAACGATCGAAAACGAGGCTAGCCGATATCCGGTCCGACCGACGAAAATTGAGAGTGAGGCTAATATCGACCGCTTCTGTATTTACCTTGTTTGGTGGGTGCACAGGTCAAGTTGAAAGGATTTTTTGGGAGGGGGAAGGTCTGGGTAGAAGGAATGGAAGGGGAGGGTATTGGGTTTTTTTAAAAATTATTGGAGGAGGAGGGGGGGTTGAGTTTAAAAAAACCAATTTTGAAATTTGTAAACAAAGTTTTTGAAAGGTTTTTGTGGTGAAAAATAGCCTTAGTCTTTGCCCAGAGCCCAAGTCGAGAGCTCAGCACAGAGCCCTTGCACAGAACCCTAGCAGAAAGTCCTAGCCCAGAGCCCTAAATATTATTAGCCGAAGTCATTAGCGTAACTCGTTAGCCTTAGCCTTACATTTTTTGTAATTCCAGTTCTATTCTTAACCCAAGCGTTGACCTTAGCCTAGTTCTCGGTCTATTATTACCTTTAGCTTTGGCTTTGCCTTAGTTCAAGCCCTAGTCCCACACTTAGCCCTGTCCTAGTCCTAGCTTAAGCAGCAGCTTGAGCTTTAGTTCTAGCATTTTAGCCTAAGCTCTGGCGTAGCTCTAACCTCAAACTAAGCCTAAAAACTTTAATTCTAGCTCTATCTTTAGCCTAGTGAAAGCTTTAGTCTTGCCTCAGCTCTAGACTTAGCATGAATGCTAGCATGCGGCATAGTTTTAGCATTTTTCCGTAAGCTTTAGCCTTATCTTTATCATTAATCCGAGCCCTAGTTTTAAACCAAGCCTTGGTTTTAGCCTATTTCTACTTTTAGCTATACATACGGCTAGCCTTGTCTGAATCCAAGGCCTGACTTTAGCTTAATTATCGCCCCAGCTTTAAACAAAGCTTTGACCTTAGCTTAGTTCAAGCCCTCCTACGCCTGGCCTTAACGTAAGCATTGACCTAAAGCCATTTCAAACCCTAGCATTCTTTCTAGGATTATATATAATTATAACATTTTAATTAGTATTAGTTTTGATGTAAAGCTAGGCTCTGACGTTAGCCTAGTTAACGCATTATTAATACCATTAGCTCTTGCTTTAACTAAATCTTCGTGCTGGAATTAATGTTTTTACTTTAAAAAATTTAAAATTTATAAAATTTTTAAAATTAAAAAAAATTTTGATCTTTTCATGAACTTTCATAGTTCCCACCATCAATGTCAACATTATTGTTTACATGATTTCAATTAGATTTCGCTTTCAACAATAAAAAGCCGATTCGAAGATGACTTTCGCTGCTATCGGATTCAAAAAGAAAGCGAAATTCCAGAAATAATGAAAAAATCGTCCGAAACTAGGTCAATGTTGAGTGGAGTTTTTTTTCGACGACAAGCGAGGAGGAAAACTGGAGGGCAATGACACTTTTCGAACTCGAAAATAGCTTTTGTCCGGTTAGCCGACCTCAATCCGCTACAAAATTTTTGCATGGATCGCTTTCGCGATGCCGCCAAACGTTTGTAGCCGATTCTCAGTGGCGCGGCTTTCACTTTTGTATTGAATGGAGAAGCGGAATTAAGGTGCTAAATTTTTAATTTTTGTATAATGATATCAGGCTAAGGCTCTGTTCAGGGTTAAGGCAAGAGATAGAGCTAGAACTAAAGCTATTGGCTCGGGCTAAGGCTAATCCTAAGCAAAAGACTAAGGCTAACCTAAGATCATGTCTAAAGCTGAAGTCAAGGCTAGGGTTAAGGTTCAAGCTAAGGCTAATGCTAAGGCTAAGGCTAAAGCTCAGGATAAAGCTAAGGCTAAAGCTAAGGCTAAAGCTAAGGCTAAAGCTAAGGCTAAAGCTAAGGCTAAGGTTTAAGCTAAGGCTAATGCTAATGCTAAGGCTAAGGCTAAGGCTAAGGCTAAGGCTAAGGCTAAGGCTAAGGCTAAGGCTAAGGCTAAGGCTAAGGCTAAGGCTAATGCTAATGCTAATGCTAAGGCTAAGGTTTAAGCTAAGGCTAATGCTAATGCTAAGGCTAAGGTTTAAGCTAAGGCTAATGCTAATGCTAAGGCTAAGGCTAAGGCTTAGGCCAGGCTTAGGCCAGGCTTAGGCCAGGCTTAGGCCAGGCTTAGGCTTAGGCTTAGGCTTAGGCTTAAGCTTAGGCTTAGGCTTAGGCTTAGGCTTAGGCTTAGGCTTAGGCTTAGGCTTAGGCTTAGGCTTAGGCTGAGGCTTAGGCTTAGGCTTAGGCTTAAGCTTAGGCTTAGGCTAATGCTTAGGCTAAAGCTAGGGCTACGGCTAATGCTAGGGCTAAGTATAAACCTTGTGCTAAAGCTAAATCTAAGGCTTAGGCTAAGGATGATGCTGACGATGATGCTAAGGCCAATGCTAATGTTAAGGCATAGGATTGGACTTAGGTTTCGGTTCAAGCCACAACTGAGACTATTGCTAAGACTGGGGCTATAGCTGAGCTTAAGGCTAAAGCTGAGGCTTAAGATAAGGACAAGTCAAAATTTTTCTCGGTGCGATTATTGGGCTAGGAGTAGGGTAGGGAAAAATATTTTTACTTTTTGCCATTTGAAATTTAAAAATTTAAATTTAATGAATTTTTCGAATTTTTTAAAACATCATTTTAATTTAAATTCCTTTCGTAACCAAGCTCAACATTATTCATCCTTATTAGTCGTCTTTTACGCGTAAAAACAAGCAAAAAAAGTTTATGAGGTCAAGTCCGGGTTGCCCGCGCAACACCACAAATTTAGTTGTTTTTTCATCGCTCGAAAACTGGTTTCGCGCAAAATGACCGGAAATTTATACTGTGAACGGAATAAAGTGGTAGAGTGTTCGCGGGGAAGCGTACAATACTGTTAAAAGAAATAATACAGTACCGTTTTGTGTAATCATGTAGTACTTTTTACAGTAAGCAAACAACTTTTTAGAGGAAAGATGTTTTTTTTATTTTTAGGGACGTACTGTTTAGTATCACATTCTCAATTTTTTTGTGGTACGGTACGGCAGAGTAATGCAGGGCGTAGAGTACAGTAAGGCTTTGTGTACGCTAGAGCTTGCGGTACGGTAGGATAGGAAAAGGCTTGATGTGAAGTAGGGCTTAAGGTTGACTAAGACAGGCAAGCTAAGGCTGAGTAAGGTAGGAGATGGAGTACGGCAAGACCTAGTGTACGGTAAAACTTAAGGTACGGCACGACAAGGTAGGGAAAAGCATGTGGTACGGTAAGCTTTAGTGTTCGGTTGAGCTTTAAGAACGATACAGCAGGTAGGACAGGGCTTGGAATACGGTAAGGTTTAGTAAACTAGGACTTAAAGTGCGGTACGGCAGGATGGAATGGAGATTGGAGTACGGTAGGGCATGAGATACGGTACGACAGAGCGAGGCCTGGAGTACCTTGGGACTTAAGGTTCGGTAAGATAGGGCAAGGTAATGCAGAGTAAAGTAGGGTAGGGTAGGGTAGGGTAGGGTAGGGTAGGGTAGGGTAGGGTAGGGTAGGGTAGGGTAGAGTAGGATAGGATAGGTAGGGTAGTGTAGGGTAAGGTACGGCAAATAAAAACATATAATTATATTCAATTTGGCACGGCGTGAATTCTGAGACAAAGCTTCTGAGCGTATTGCGATAGCGAAAGGGGCACCTCGAGAGGCCAAAAACAATACCAGCGATCAACCTTTGTCGGCACATTACACAATGTTGCCAACACTTTCATTGTTTTAAAATATCGCTTATTGTTAAAGTTTTTTGGTTGTATTCAAATTTTGTTTTGTAGGGTACGGTATTTTAGATTTTTTGAATTTTAAATGGCGGGGGGGGGCTGAGGGGTAGAGTACGGTAAGGCAGGGGTAGGGCAGGAAAAGGGACGGCACGGCAGTGAAGAGCAAAGAGGGTGGCAAGACAGGTCAACTAGGAATTCATATGGTAGGGTCGGCTGAGGTAAAAAAAATTTTTTGGGGTGGATCACTAAATTTTTTTTTGCCAAGACTTTTTTAAAACGTTATAAAATGTAGATAAGGAGTACTGTAACAAAACAGTTTTCGTTGTTTTTTCGCATTCCGGAACGAGCGTTTCAACCCTCGCGTTAAAACGGCACTTCACGGCAAAAAACCGGTTTTTTCGTTGCTTTTTTCGAGGATTTCGACAAGATCTCGCGTAATTACAGCCGGTTTTTTCCGGGTCAAAAGGGGGCACGTAATCTGTTGCGGCAAAAGTGAAAATTCTGATTGCATACGAGCTAATATGCTCAACTTTAAAGTTATTCTAAAATTTTTTTAATTTTTTTTGGTTTATGCAAATTTTTAATTTTACTTTTTTATTTTTTTGTTTTAAAATAGGGGGCGGGGGTAAAGTTGCATACGATTGGGTAGGGTAAGATAGAGTAGAGTAAGGCAGAGTAGGGCAGATTAAAGTCAGACGAGACAAGATAGGATAAGGTAGGATAGGATAGGAGAATTTAGAGTAAGGTAGGTTGCAGTAGGGTAGGAAAGAGTAGTTTGTGGTATGGTAGGACAACATGAATTTTTTTGTTGTTTTAAGTTTTTCGCTTTTGTTTGACCTACTCTATCTTATGCTATCCTTCCCCTACCTTTCTCCTACCCTACTTCACCCCCTTCGCCTCCTTTCCTCTACCTCTACTTACCTGCTCGCTATAAAGATTTTTTTTAATTTTACCCCGCTCGAAACTAAGCAAATTGCTTATCAAAGTAGAAGATTTGCATTTTTTTTTATTTTTCGTCATTTTTTAAAATTTAAGTAAGTAAAACGCGTTTAATTTACATATTTTGGTCACTCTCGCGATTTTAAAGAAACGTTCTGGCGTTTTCCTTATCGTTCCTAAGTGTTTTGGTTAATTTGAATTTCGAACACGCGTTTTTTTTATAAAGGCCATTTGCTTGACTTTATCACTGGGCCTGTAAAAAAATATGTGACGGTCTGGGCTTGGCTTGCCTTGCCTTAGGCCTGTAGTGTCTTTTTCAGGTCTAACTGTTATAGCAAAATTTAAATTAAAGATTAAAAAAAGTGACTTTCAGATCAATTTTTGGGTAATGGTAGGTGTGGAGTTGAGTAGCAGCCGCTCAACCACCCCAAGTTCACCAGCTTCAAGCCCGAGAAGCGAAAAGAGCAAAGAAAACGATGTGAACAGTGGATATTGTGACAGTGACATTAGGTAAAATATTTTAAAATTCTTGGTTATTTTATCGTATTTTACATTATAAATTTCATTTTTTTTTTGTTTTATAAAGAAAGTTCTTGCCATTTTTTAGTTTGTAAAGAAAGTTCTTGCCATTTTTTGTTTTGTAAAGAAAGTTCTTGCCATTTTTTGTCTTGTAAATAAAGTTCTTGCCATTTTTTGTTTTGTAAAGAAAGTTCTTGCCATTTTTTGTTTTGTAAAGAAAGTTCTTGCCATTTTTTGTTTTGTAAATAAAGTTCTTGCCATTTTTTGTCTAGTAAAGAAAATTCTTGCCATTTTTTGTTTTGTAAAGAAAGTTCTTGCCATTTTTTGTCTTGTAAATAAAGTTCTTGCCATTTTTTGTTTTGTAAAGAAAGTTCTTGCCATTTTTTATTTTGTAAAGAAAGTTTTTGTCATTTTTTGTTTTATAAAGAAAGTTATTGCCGTTTTACTAGTTCAAACTCATTTTTAACTGCCAAAACTTTCAGGACGCCTCAAAAGCTGTCCTCACAATGGCGTAAACGGTGCACATCAGACGATTCTTCTTCAGAATCCATGAAGCGTCGTCCGTTTGAAGAGGAGATTGATCAACGGCTACAGGCTTTGAAGCAGGAAAATCATTTTTTGAAAAGTCAGCTTGAGCGTAGTATGGATACGGTAATCGTTCAGGGACCTAAAAGTGTACCAAAAGCTAATGGTACTGCAGTGCCTTCAAATGGTACTACAATGCTTTCACATGGAACCGCAATGCCTTCAAATGGTACTACAATACCTTCAAATGGTATTCCAATGTCTTTAAATGGCACCACAATGCCCTCAATTAGTACTGCCATGCCATTAAATGGTACCACAATTCCTGCAAATGGTACTAATTTCATGTTGAGTGGTACCAGTAGTACCATTGGTGCCAACTGTCATACAGGAAGTGATTTTGAACAAAACTCAAATTTTTCTTTAAAATCATCTACAGTACCATCGGTACCATCAGTACCATTAGTAACAAAATCAGAAAATTTGGCTTCCGATCTTATTCGACCAAAGCCAGTACCACTACAAAGCGACCAGTACCATTTTTTGACTGAAAGTGGAAATGGTACTACTACCAACTTGAATAGTACTACTAATGCATTAAATAGTCCAACCAATACGTTGAACGGTTCGACTAGTACATTGAATGGTCCTACTAGTACAGGTCTTAGTAGTACTGTAAATCTTACAGCTAGTACTATGAACCCAACACCGCACATTCAAAGTACTACAACTGGTCCTACTAGTACTCAAAACGCTGAAAGTGGTACAAGTTCTATTCTAAGCGCATTAAATGGTACTAATCCGACGAATAGTACTAGTTGTATCCAGAGTACCAACGACTTTCAACAGCCAAACCTTTGTAACCTGTACAACACGTTGAATACGACACCAGCTTTCCAACATCTGGCTTCATTACTGTATCCAACTGCTTTCGATTCAGCCTCAGTTTACAATAACCTGTTCAATGGAATGTCATTGAACAGTTTGGCCAATTTACAAGCGATTCTACAACAACAAACTCAGCAGCAGCAGGTAGGTTTAATTTTAAAATTCAACTGGAGATAGGGCTGGTTTGGTAGGGCTGTAGTAAAGGCTATGATGTGGCTTGGGTAGGTATTGGGTAGAAGTTTGAATAGATCTATAGTATATGTTATGGTAGGGCAGAGCTATGGTAGGCTAAAGAAGAGTTAGAGCTTTAGGCTTCAAGTTTTAAGCTTTAGACTAAAGCTCAAGGCTTGGGCTTTAAGCTATTTATATATTTTGGCTAAAGTTCCAGGCTAGAGATAAAGGTAGAACCGGGACTAGAGCTAGATCTTTAGGGTAACAATTGTAAGACTTAGCTGGACCTTCAATCTCTAGAGCATTAGGCCCCGCCTTAGGCTAAAGTTTTAGGTTAAGGCTTCAAACCAAAGTCTTAGGTTAGCTGAAGCATTAGACTAGCTGTTTAGGCTAGAGCGTTAAGCTAGGGTTTTAAGCTAAGTTTTTAAATTAAGCCCTTAGGATAACTAGGGCTTTAAACTAAGATTTTAGGCTAGATTTTTAAGCTCTGGCTCTGAAATAGGTGTCTAAGCTTGGGTTCTAGGCTAAGGATCTATGCCAGGGCTCTGGGCTGTCTCTGGGCTAGGGCTCTGGGCTAGGGTTCTGAGTTAGGGCTCTGGGCTAGGGTTCTGGGCTAGGGCTTTGGGCTAGGGCTTTCGGACCGGCCGTTGGCTAGGGCTCGGGGCTAGGGCTACGTGTCTGCGCTAGGCTTAGGACTAGAACTAGGGCTCTGGTCTAGGGTTCTGAGTTAGGGCTCTGGGCTAGGACTCTGGGTTTGGGCTCTGGGCTAGTTTTAATGGCAATGACAATGTTTTTACAACGGGAAATTTGCATACTCCAGAATTACGACGCTTTTTCTTGACCTAAAAAAGCGAAAAAAGGGCATCGCCTTTCATTTTATCTCACTTTTAGCCTTTCGGGTTATCGCCAACAGCATTTTCAGGGGAATATTATTTATACCTAAACTAACTTTTATAAAAGAGGTATTTTAGACATAAGGAGCACTAAATTTGGTAGGAGACTGGTAATTTTTGGTACTCAAGCGGAGATGGGAAGGGCGAAAAAACGTTTTAAAAAATTTTTTGCTTTGTAAAGAAAATTCTTGCCATTTTTTGTTTTGTAAGGAAAGTTCCAGTCATTTTTGTTTTGTAAAGAAAGTTATTGCCATTTTTTGTTTTGTAAAGTAAGTTCTTGCCATTTTTTGTTTTTTAAAGAAAGTTCTTGCCATTTTATTTTTTGTAAAGAAAGTTCTTGCCATTTTATGCTTTGTAAAGAAATTTCTTGCCATTTTTTCTTTGTAAAGAAAGTTCTTGCCCTTCTTTGTTTTGTAAGGAAAGTTCTTGCCATTTTTCACTTTTTAAAGCAAGTTTATGTCATCCCCCCCCCTTGCAAATTAAACTAATATTCAAAGATAAAAATTTAAAATTATTATATTTTTTTTAAATTTTAAACTTAAGCCTAAAACAGAAAAAAAAACTAAAAAATGTCTGTTTTTGCCCTAACAATAAAGGAATGCTTCTAATTTCACCGCTTTCGATTGTTTCAAGTCGTTTTTTTATTTCACAACCCGATTATAAAAAGTAAAATGGGTCATTTCTGGGTTGTCTGCACCCTTTTTTTCCTTTTATGCGGGTTCGGATGTCAAGCAAGTCGTTTTTTGCTCAAAAACTTTCAACCGCTAATATTGTTTTGTCACCTTTTACAATTCTCACATTTTTGTCGGTTTTTTAAACTTAAAAAAAATTTAAAAAATTTTTTTTAAAAGTGCAAGCTATTTTATAATATTAACTGTGGGTTGCTTTTGGGTTCATAAGGACGTGGGTGGGCGGGGTGATTTTGATGGGTGGGGAGGGGGGGGGGAGGGTCGATGACGGGGGTAGTGCTGGGTAGGGTAACTCATCGTAAAGTAGGATAAAGTACGGTAGGTTGGAGTACGGTAGGTTAGGGTAGGGTGGGGTAAAATAGGATAAAGCATGGTAGGGTAGGTGGTGGGCAGGGTAATATAGAGGAGCTGGAGAAAAAAGGCAGAAAAAAAAATTTATTTGGGGGGGGGGACAGGCTAAATTTTAGTGGAAAAAATTTTTTTTGTGATATATCATTCCCCCTTTAAAAAAATCCCCGTTCATTTCTGCCCCTTTATCCTACTTTACCCTACCCTACCCCACCCTAGCCTACCCAACCCGACTCTACGCTACCTGACCCTACTTTATCCGACCATGTCTATTCCTAATTACAGCTAAAAACTTAATTTTACTTTTTTCTATTTTTGTTACCTAAAAACCTATTTTTTAGGCCTTTTCCACCTTTGCATCAGCCACAGCCTTAACAGCACCACTTGAGGCCTCCCAAACGTCGTCCCAAAGCCTGAGTGATCTAGTTAAAGAACCAATCAACTTACTAGTCCAAAACCCGTTGTTTTCGGCCCAAAACCCGGCTGTCAGCAACACCATGAGGTTCGACGGCCTCTTTCCAAGCAGCTCCAAGACGGAAGCTACTGATAAGCCCACTGATCAGCCTAGTGGAAGCTTGGACAATAAAAGTGGTGATAACAAGGAGATTCAGAATGCTGAAGCTAATTTCCCTGTTGGAGCTTCACATATTCTTCAAAGGGGTAAGTTATGACAGATTTTTTGAATTTTCAAGGGGGGTTTTGGGCCTAAAGTTAACGTTTTTTGGCCTTATTTTCGGTCAAACATCGATCAAACTTTAAAAAATCTTGAGGGATTTTATCAAAAAATATTGCCTACACATTGCGTTTTAATTTTAAAACTAATAAACTATTAACTTCTTTTGTTTTTAACATTTAAAATTCGAAAAAAGTTAATTTTAGCGAGAAAATCGGCCTAAATTTCACTTTTTGACCTTGTTTTACACTTCAATAAGTCCGAAATTTCGAAAATTTTTTGAAAATCAAGGGGGAAATTCGAATTTCAATAAAAAATTGTTTTTTTAAATTTTCTTTACCTGCCCTCTCAATTTTATACGCTATTTTCTTGATCGCAGCCTTTTTCTTTGATTTCCTCTTGATCTGCGAAAGAGTGAGAAAAAAAAAGAGAGCGCGAAAAAGTGGTTAGAGAGCGCGCGGAATTCCTTTTTGTTTTGTGGGCCGACGAGAAAGCGCAATTAACAGTGAGAGCGCGAAAGGCTGTTTAGAGAGCGCAACAGTTTTCTCTCTTTCGTTTCACGGGCTGACGAAATAGCGGAATAAATAAAGAGAGCGCCAAAACCCCGCGCAAAAAAGCCAGAGAAGCAAAGAAACGGCCGAAATATCGCTCTCTCTTTTCTCTCACCCGCGCTTTTTCCCAATCAAAAAGCGAGCACCCGTTTTATCACTCAAAAGAGAAAGAATCTATTCTCCGAGATCATGCTTCACAGGATCATTTCTGTAGTAAGCATACTCTCGTCTAACGTCTAGGTTTCACCACCTGACTCTACGATGATCGAGCCGTGGTGACCCTTCCAGAGCGTGAAGTTCGTTCTGCTGGCTAATGTAGCTGGTGGAACGTTGAAGATCGCGAACTGTGCACCTGGAGCACGGTTTAGGGAAGAGTCGCTGGCTGAGTAGAGCTTTATAAAAATTTATATTATAATAGCTGGAGGGTATTTGATTACATATCTAACGTACCCTGCCTTACTTTATCACACCCAAACGTACCCTAACATAGTCTGCTATCCTAGCCTACTCCACCCTAAAAAAGTTATCTTAATCTTGACCTAACACCTCCAATTTCAGGACCAGGTAACATTCAATTCCTAAACCACCTTCCCACAGCTCACGAGCCGCGCTCCTCTGTACTTCACCACACCGACAGTATTCAATCCTCCTCGAACTGGCCCTTACCAACCCAGCCCAAGGTCGAACCACGCCCTTTTAACTATGAATCGTACCAAAACTTGGCCAGTATCCTAAGCAACCCCTCTCGCTTAAGTCCTACTGTAATCGAGAGTCGTACCGAGAAGCAAAGTGGCCTAGTCGAGCGACGTTCGGCCAAATCCTCGTCACCTCAACTCATCCTATCGACCAGTCAAAAAAGCGACTCGGATTCTCTGGGCTCTCCACATTCTACACGATCTACCACCGATTCGAATCGAAGCCAAATTAGTCCTGCTTTGCACGACGGTACCAGTCAGGGTACCAGTTCGAAGACCAATGCCAAGTACCAAGATAGGCGGAGGAGGAACAATGAGGCCGCGAAGCGTTGTCGTGCTAACCGACGTGCTATTTTTGAGATGCGTTCACATCGTGCTCAACAGCTCGAGTTGGAGAACAATAATTTGAGGAATGAGATGGTCAAGCTGAACAGTGAACTGGAACAACTTAAGGCTGTTATTGAGGCCAATCATCGACGGCTTCATGTATAATGTTGTCTATGGATACTGCAGCTTTATTTTTTGTATTTACTGTAGTTTCTTTTGAATGTACTGTAGCTTTTTTTAGTCTACTGTAGTTTTAAGTAGCAGTTGTCATTCAAAGGTACTGTAGCTTCATTTGAACGTACTGTAGTTTAATTAGAAGACACTCTAGCTTCAATAAACTGTACTGCAGTACTGTAACTTATTTGAGAGTACTGTAGCTTCAAGCTACTGTAACTTTATTTGGGAGTACTGAACTTCATTTGAGGGCACTTTAGCTTTGTTTGATGGTACTGTACTATTAAAACTTTAGCTTTAGTGCTTTTTTAAATCTAGTACTAGTACGAACTTTATTGTTTTAGTACAAAATTTACAGTATTTTATTATAAAAATACTGTAATGTCATCTTTATTAATTGATTGTCAATGTTTTTACCACAATAATTAGATGCTTTCTTAGCCCAATACTTTCGTTAACAACCAGTTATAAAACTTTACTGTCTGTTTTTTATATTGTCGTACTGTATATAGTACTGTAGTGTACTATGCTGCAATTGTGTGTTAAAAAAGGTACTATATAGCACGTATACTGTATAGTACGATACATTTTTGCCTTATACACAATATTTTTTTTCGGTTTTTAGCTTGCTAGGGCTCTGGGCTAGGGCTCTGGGCTAGGGCTCTGGCTAGGGCGCTGGGCTAGCGCTCTGGCTAGTTCGCTGGGCTAAGGCTCTGGGCTGGCGCTCTGGGCTAGGGCTCTGGGCTAAGGCTCCGGCTAAAGCTGTGGGCTAGGGCTCTAGGCTAGGGCTCTGGGCTAGGGCTCTGGGCTAGGGCTCTGGGCTAGGGCTCTGGGCTAGGGCTCTGGGCTAGGGCTCTGGGCTAGGGCTCTGGGCATTTTATACGTACTGTCATTACAATTAGATAGACTACCTAACTTACCTTGACTCATAATCAATACTTAACTTTTATTTTTGAAATTTTCAATTTTTCGATTTAAATTGTTTGTCAAACCTTTTAATATAAGTAGCATACTACAATTTACTGTTTTTTTATACTTATTTATTACTATATATAGCTATATATTACACAAAAGTGCATTATTATAACCAATATTTTTACTTACAACCAACTTTCAATCATCTTATCGCATATTTATTCTACTTACATATACTTACTGTTCACAATGGCTGTATAAATTGAATACATTTTACTTTAGCGACCCTTAGTTTAAAAAGTTTAAAAAAAATATTTTTTTAGTTTGGGTAGGGTAGAGAGATGCTACTATTATATAATTTAAAAAATTTTAAGCCTTGTCTTAGGTATGGCTTTGAAAAAAAATTGGTCAAAGTAGAAAATGGCTAGATCAAAGCTAAAGTAAGCTAAAAAAGGCCTAAAGGTTTAGTTAGAGCTAGACCTAGGAAACAGGCTAGAGCTTACACTACGTTTAGGTCATGGCTTGAATTAAGTGTAGGGTTACATTAAAACATAAAGGTACTATTAAGGGGCTGAAAGTTTATGCCGAAGCTCAGGATAAGACGCTAAAAAACTAGGGCTTTTATTTTTAAAGCTTAAGCTGTAGCTAAAGCTAGGGCTAGGCTAATGCTTAAGTTCGGGCTCAAAAAATAAGCTGTAGCTAGGGCTAGGGTTAGGGTTCTAACTCTGGAAGAAGACTCTTGGCTTTGATATAATGCTTTGGGCTAGGGCTCTTTACTAGGGCTTTGGGCTAGGGCTTTAGCCAAGGCTATGGTCAGGGCTTGAACAATTGCTCTGTTCTACGATTCTGGGCCACGACTCTGAGCTAGGGCTCTGAGCTAGGGCTCTGGGCTAGGGCTCTGGTCTAAGGCTCTGGGTTAGGCCTCCGGGCTAGGGCATTAAAAATCCAAAATTGTGATGTGTAAATTTATCTTCCAACTAAAATAACATAAAAATACAATAGTAAAAGGTACCGGATTCGAATTATTTTGGACGTAAGTTTGTTGTTTGAAGAAGACGTGGCAGACTAACAATGTTCTAAATAAGTATAGAGATAAGCATAATATTATCGTAAAAGGTATTTGAATGCAAAATTGAAGTAATTTAACTTGTTTTCTGTAGCAAAACGAGTGGTTTTTTAACTGAAAAAATGCTTTTAAACATTTAAAAAAAAAATGAAAATTGTAAAATATTACAGTATGTTATCCCTGAAAGTACTAAAAACAAGATATATTGTACCAAAAGTACCAAAATGAATATAAAACGTAAAAATTTATAGTTTTTGTACAAAAAAATTTTAAAATTTTAATTTTAAAAATGAAAAAAAATAATAGTAATTGATAAAGAAAAAATGAAAAATAGACCCGATTTTTGATGTCAGACTTAATCGTACTATATAGTACCATGTTCAGTACTATGGTATCTTACAGCCATTGTTATAGTAGTGTAGATGTAAAAGTTTGTTTTCGGTTTTTGGTACTATATTGTACAATGTTTAGTACTACGGTGTTTACAGTCTTTGTTATAGTACTCTAGACGTACTATATAGTATAAAACAAAAAAGTAAAAATCTCGTACTATTTCTGGTACTAAATAGTACTATTTTCAGTATTATGTTTAAATAAGATTTTCTGTTAAGCTACGTCACACCTATCATAAACGTACAACTTTAAAGTTACTATATAGTACTGAACATGTACTAAATAATACTAAAAGCTTCAAATTTAAAATTTTTTTAAATTTTAAAATTTGAAATTTTTAAAACTTTTAAAATTTTAAGCAAAGTTATCAGGTGGATTGTAGATAGTCTTTTCCTTGTAGTAAACTTCATCATGCTCTTTGTCGCATATTAACATCAAAGAAGCACCGAACGTGATCAACATTGCTCCAAACGCCACACCATACGACCAGTCGAAAGCCCAATTCCGAATGCCATACATGTTCATGGTGAAGAAGAAACATACTGGGTATACTATCAGCGCTGTTAGTTGACATAGCACTAAAAATTGATTGTTTGAAGTAAATCAATGACATGTTGACGAAATGTCAAAAAAATTTTTTTTAGAAATATGTCTTAGACTTGTTATAGCCCTTCTCTACATTACAATACCCTACCCTACCCTACCCTACCCTACCCTACCCTACGCTACCCTACGCTACCCTACCCTACCTACCCTACCCTACCCTACCCTACCCTACCCTACCCTACCCTACCCTACCCTACCCTACCCTACCCCTACCCCACCCTACCCTACCCTACCCTACCCGACCCTACCCCACCCTACCCTACCCTACCCTAGGCTACCCTACGCTACCCTACCCTACCTACCCTACCCCTACCCTACCCTACCCTACCCTACCCTACCCTACCCTACCCTACCCTACCCTACCCTACCCTACCCTACCCCTACCCTACCCTACCCTACCCTACCCGACCCTACCCCACCCTACCCTACCCTGCCCTGCCCTAGCCTACCCTATATTACTCTACCTTACCATACCCTACAATACCCTACCTTAACCAACCATGCCCCTTCTCTTCCTTACCTTGTAGTACATTACTCTACCTTTAAAAATCTACTCTATCCTATCTTAACCAACTGTACCCCCACTTTATTCTACCTTACTGTACCCTACACAACCCCTCAAAAAAAAATCTACCCTACCCAAAAAATGTTTACCCTGCCCTTAAAAGGCCTATCCTAACCTTTAAAATATCTACTGTACCCTCCCATCTTATCCACACTCACCTCTTTCACCCCTCTTTCCCAACCCAACACACCTTCTCACCCCACCCAACTTACCACTAAACAACGCTGAGTAGGTAGCAATCTTGTAGAAGGCATGCTTCTTATGTAGATCGTTAGTCTTTAGTCCAAGCAAGTTAGTCAAGAAGCCAATCGAAGTTGCCAAGACTGCCACAATCAGCAACCCGACAACCGCCTTGACATAGACAAGGTTGTCTCTACTGATGGCTTCACAAGTGCCTGGAGCTGGTGCATCTGGTACGGGTACGATGTTGGCCGGACTGTTCGAGCCAGTCTGGCTTTCGGCCGTGCATTCTTGAAACAGTCCAGTATGGAATTGGTTCGAACCGACCCAGGATTTGGTTGATAAGGCAATGATGAGGAGGATGAAGGATAATATCAGGCAGATCAGGGCTATTACCTAAAATGGTTTTGTAAAGAAAGTTCTTGCCATTTTTTGAGTTTGTAAAGAAAGTTCTTGCCATTTTTTGTATCGTAAAGAAAGTTCTTGCCATGTTTTGCTTTGTAAAAAAAGTTGTTGCCAAAAAAACCTTATAAACTTACTTTCATTGGCCTTACCACCGTCACAGTCTCTATCGTTGTCGTTTGGGCTGCCATTTTTAGGCTGAAAACAGTTAATTAAAAAAATTTTTAGTTTTCTGGTTTCTGGTAACATACATTTTAACGCATACTCGATAGTACAAAACAACATTTCACGTAAATATCAAAAGATAACACAAAACATTAAAATAAGGGAAATTTAGACCGTCCAAAAAGTCCTGTCGCTTTTTGACACTAGTTTGCAAAGACCCACGTTACCTTCCCTAGCCCTTAACCCAAAACAGTGTTTCTCCTGAATAGTCTGGTCCAAACCGGTCCGACAAAAAATTCTGAACCGGGAAGGACCATACCTCAACAGTAGTCGGACAGGGCCAGAAAAAAATACTTGGTGTAAAGTGGTCCAAGCAATACGCAAAAAATTGTGAGTGGGCTAGACACCGAGCTTTTAAAATAGCCGGGCTAAACCTAAAAAAGCAATCGCCCGGAGGGTTCACGCAAGAACACTAATCCAGAGCCTTAGCCCAGAGCCCTGGTCCAGAACCTTAGCCCCAAGCTCTAGCCCAGAGCTTTATCCCATAGCCCTAACCCAAAACACTAGCCCGGAGCTTTAGCCGAGAGCCCTAGCGTAAAGTCCCTACCAAAAAAAATTAATGCCCAGCCCACCTATGCCAACAATAAAACAATAAAGAAAAGTTTAGACTACTCAAAAAGTGCATTTAGTTCAAGAAAAACTTGAAAAGCCAGATGCTTTTCGGGCTGGAAATGCCCTTAGGTCAGAAAGTTTAAACGAAAAAAAAGAGTCCACTCTAAGTGAAACTTAAATATTCGAATACTTTGTTTCCACTACTATTAATCACGTTTTTAGTTAATACTTGACACTAGTAATAAAAAATTTTTAAATTTAAAATTTTTTTTTGTTTTGTAAAGAAAGTTCTTGCCATTTTTTATTTTGTAAAAAAAGTACTTGCCATTCTTTATTTTGTAAAGAAAGTTCTTGCGACTTTTTGTTTTGTAAAGAAAGTTCTTGCCATTTTATGCCTTGTAAAGAAAGTTCTTGCCATTTTATGCCTTGTAAAGATAGTTCCTGTCATTTTTTGTTGTGTAAAGAAAGTTCTTGCCATTTTTTCCAAAACCACGTTTTAAAGTATAAAAACCTTAAAACCTCATTTTAAAAATTGAAAAAAAATTGAAATTTCAAAAAAGGATTCTTAATAAAACCGTCATGAAGATCTCGCAAAACACGACTACTCGCGGAAATAAATTTGCATATTCACCAGGGAGTTCGCGCAACCAGCTAAAAATCCTCGAAATGAAGATGAAATGGAGCTGAAACATCGGCCAATCGAGATAAAAATGAAATGTTGAAGATCGTTCAACGCGTTTTAGAGTTCATTTTTAAGTGAAAAAAACATTTAAAGTGCCATTTTTTGTTTTGTAAAGAAAGTTCTTACCATTTTATGTTTTGTAATGAAAGTTCTTACCATTTTATGTTTTGTAATGAAAGTTCTTGCCATTTTATGCTTTGTAAAGAAAGTTCTTACCATTTTATGTTTTGTAATGAAAGTTCTTGCCATTTTATGCTTTGTAAAGAAAGTTCTTACCATTTTATGTTTTGTAATGAAAGTTCTTGCCATTTTATGCTTTGTAAAGAAAGTTCTTACCATTTTATGTTTTGTAATGAAAGTTCTTGCCATTTTATGCTTTGTAAAGAAAGTTCTTACCATTTTACGCTTTGTAAAGAAAGTTCCTGCAATTTTTTAATTTTTAATGAAAGGTTTTGTCATTTCTTATTCTGTAAGAAAAGTTCTTGCCATTTTTGTTTTGTAAAGAAAGTTCTTGCCATTTTTGTTTTGTAAAGAAAATTCTTTCCATTTTTTGTTTTTAAACAACTTTTTGCCATTTTCAATAAAAATTCAACGTAAAATTTAAAAAAAATCATTTTTGATTTCCTTTTTTTAAAAAATCTGCTTCATAAAACGCTAACAATAAAGAGTGACCCGTATATATTCTTTTTAATTTGTGTAATTGGTCAATCAAGTTGTAAAAAGAAGACTCGTCTCTCTTTTTTCTTGAGTTTTTTCAAAGAAATGGCCAATTTCATTTTTTATAGCTTTTCTTTTTAAAACTAAATAGACAAAAGGTGTGGTCTTCTCTAAACCAAAAATTACCCTGACCGGTTTTTTAGAAATTGAAAAAAAATAAAATTTTTTTTTTAAATTTGAAAGTTTTTTACATTTTAAAACGTGATTTTGGAAAAAATTGGCAAGGACTTTCTTTACAAAACAAAAAATGGCAAGAACTTTCTTTACAAAACAAAAAATGGCAAGAACTTTTTTTACAATATAAAAAATGGCAAGAACTTTCTTTACAAAACAAAAAAATGGCAAGAACTTTTTTTTACAAACTGAGAAATGGCAAGAAATTTTTTTACAATATAAAAAATGGCAAGAACTTTCTTTACAAAACAAAAACTGGCAAGAACTTTCTTTACAATGCAAAAAATGGCAAGAACTTTCGTTACAAAGCAAAAATGGCAAGAACTTTCTTTACAAAATGAGAAATGGCAAAAAATTTCTTTACAATATAAAAGATAGCAAGAACTTTCTTTACAAAACAAAAAATGACAAGAACTTTCTTTACAAAACTAAAAATGGCAAAGACTTTCTTTATAAAACCCAATAAACTCCCCTTTCTTTCACTCTGCTAAACTAGCCCAAAAAGGACTAAAATTTTCCCGCCCCTAAAAAAATTAACTTAAAATTATATGCCCGAGCAAAAATAGCAAAAACCAAGTAGAAAATAATAAAGAAACAATACCCTTAAAAACAATACTAAAACATGTATACAATGTGTAAGAATAGCCCTCCCAACCTGACATTTTAGTTTCTATTTTCTGATGATTCAAATTCGTAAGAAAACATTTGCTTTTGTACGTTTTTCTACTACATATGTGGTCTTTCATTAATCATTAGGCTGGGCCAAGGTCTTATTTGGGAACGTAGAATTTATAATATAGTAAAAAATGGCAAGAATTTTATTTACAAAGCAAAAGTTGGCAAGAACTTTGTTTACAAAATTAAAAAATGGCAAGGACTTTTTTTACAAATCAAATTTGGCAAGAACTTTCTTTACAAGACAAAAAATAGCAAAAACTTTGTTTACAAGACAATAACTTTAAAAAAAAATCCCAAAGCTTGATCACCATCCTTTCCCCCCCCTTTAAAAAAAACAAAAAAAAGTATAATTAACCGCCAAAAAACACCCCTTTCCCCTTCCCGCATTTTGCACACCCCCTCTAAAAAACCGACGTAAAAAAGTAAGCTAGGACTAGGACTAGAGGTAGGGCTAAGGCTAGTGTTTAAAAAACTAAAAAATATCCTTATCCCCTACAACCATCACTCTACCAAAAATTTTAACTCAAAGTTAAATCCCCTGCGTTTCGAAAATGAAAAAAAAAATGAAAAGCAAAAGTACCCTACCTAGCCCGTCAAAAAAAATATAAAACACTAGCCCAAAGTGTAAGTTAGGGCAGGAGCTAGCGCTTGGGTTTTAAAAAAATCTGAGAAATCCCCCCCTAAAAAGTTCAAAGTCCCACCCAAGCCTTCCCCCTCTCCAAAGAATCGGCAAAATATTAACAAAAAACAGCAAAAAAACTCAATCCCCCCCCCCTGACTATCATTAAAAAAACGGGCTTAAAAACCCACCCCCTCCTCTATATCCACAAAAAAAAATCAGCTTTAAAAGCCAAATAAAATTCCAAAAAGAAATTAGCTTCAAAGCCGAACCGCCGCCCCCAAAAGTGTGAAAAATATTTGTCGCCAAACCCTGCCAATTTGTCACAAAAACCCGCCCAATGACCATTTGTGGACAGGTAAAAGGAGGGGGAAAGAGACAGAGGAGTGGAGGTAGCTGGCGACAAAGAATGGAATTTATCGTGATTCACCTTTCGATTACTCTATTGTATCTTCATTTACTGCGATCTATAGGGGTTATTTCGCGTTTCTTCCTTTAGCATTGTCTATGCTTTTGTACGCTTTTATTGATTTGCGCAATCTTTTTAGGGGTTTATGGATATAGAAGGGGGGGGGGAGGGAGATAATAAGGGGGGGGAAGAGGGGGGGGGGAAGAGGAATTGACAAGAAAAGATAGGTGAGGGGAAAAGAAGAAGAGAAAAAAAGTGGAGGGAGGAGGGGAGAGTGGGAGTACGGGAAGAGTAAAAAATTTTTTTCCAGTTTTTTGCGAAAAAAACTAAAAAAATTTTTTCGATCTACCCCCAAAACAAAAAAAATTTTTTTTTACCACACCCATAATTTTCAATTAAAAGATTTTTAAAAAAACTTTAACCTAAAAATTTTTTCATGTTTCGCCCTACCGTACCCTCCTCTACGCCTACTTTATGCTACCCTTACCTTACCCTATTCTTACATTACCCTAATTCTACCTTAACTTATCCCTACCATACCCTACTCTTACCATACCCCTACTTTACCCTCCACTTTCTCACCCTTTTCATAACCAAAAAACCCAAAATTTACACACCCACCACTAAAACCTAGCATTATAAACCTATATTTTGTATTTTTTTTTAAATCCAAAAATAATGCGATTTCCCTACTCTTCCACACCTTTTTTCCGAATAAATATTTCTTCAAAAATCTTTTTTTTCCGTCGCCGCTGGGGGTTTTTGCGCGGTAAAATCTCTTTGAACGGAGAAATAAAAACGGAGATTCCTGAACAAGGAACAGTGCTTTTGAAAAGTTTTTGTTAGAAATTATAAAAAAAATGTTTTTAAAAGACAATGTGGTTCTTTCAAAAGGTAAGTTTGTAAACACAGTAAAACTTCTTTAATATGACCTTCAATAGTGTGACACTGTATTTATGATGCCGACATAAAGAGGCTGCCATACTTTTCTTGTAAGTTCTTGTAAAAAATGGCGGGTTCTTTATGTCGGTACCTAATACAACGCTAGTTTTACTAAGAACGGCTTAAGTTATGATAAGGCAAACAGTAGGCTACTAGGACTAGGGTAGATGAAAGAAAGCCTAGGCTGTTCAAG